GCCACCCACCCAAGTCCCATGGCAGAGACACATGGACATCCATTCCGCTGCCCTCACCCATGCCATTATTGTGTATGTGCGTCACATGACCACACCGAGTCCATCACTCTCCCACCCCTTACCCTTGCCCGTGCCACACCATGTCATCCCCATACCCACCCCACGCCATGCCATGGCAGGGACATGGCCGCCAACCTGTTCTCCGGCTCGCTGCCTCCCTCCATCTTCAACCTGCGAAACCTCTCCCACCTGTCAGTCAACTCTCCCACCTGTCAGTCAACTGCCCCACCTGTCAGTCAACTGCCCCACCTGTCAGTCAACTGCCCCACCTGTCAGTCAACTGCCCCACCTGTCAGTCAACTCTCCCACCTGTCAGTCAACTGTCCCACCTGTCAGTCAACTGTCCCACCTGTCAGTCAACTTCCCTATCTAAACTAGCACCCACCAGTAGCTTCCATCATCAGAACAGCAGCTTCTAGCAACCAGCCATTCGTCTTGGATTCATTCATCCTCACCATCAGTCCTCATGTAGTCCCACCTCCGCCCCTCTGCCCTCTCTCCCCCCTGCCCTCTCTCCCCCTGTCCTCTGCCACACGACTTACCATCCCAGCAACATGTCTCGCAACCGCCTCTCAGGACCTCTGCCCAACGCTGCTGCCAGTCCAGCTCTCATCATGTGCGTATGCCCTCGTAACCACAAGACCCTTGGTAACCACAAAAGCTCTGGTAACTGCAAGATCCCTGGTAACCATTCCACTTGAATCTTGCAAGAAAAATCTCCCATCCCCTTCCTCTCCCTCCCCTTTCCCTCCTGCACCCTCCCTGTCCTGGTGCGTGTTCTCTCAACCGTCGCTTTTTCTTCCCCCATTTCCGCCCACCCACGTGTTTCCCTCTCCATTATACTCCCATCCATGCCTCTCTCCCATATCTCCTTCAAAACGCATTTATTACGCATTCAACATGCTTCCATGTCCACAGCGACCTCTCATTCAACGCGCTCTCAGGGTCGCTGGAGGGCCGCCATTTCAATCTCAAGAAGCTGGCTTTGTTGTGAGTGCTGGCGTTGCTGTGAGTGCCGGCCTTGCTGTGAGTGCCGGCCTTGCTGTGAGTGCCGGCCTTGCTGTGAGTGCTGGCGTTGCTGTGAGTGCCACCACATGCCGTTGCTGTTACTCTCGTCAGCCTAGCTTCGCTGCTCATGCTGTCTTTGAGTCGTGCTCTTCTTGTTTGGCTTGCGTCCCCTGCCCCGCAATTGCGCATGCCTCCCCTTGCTTCTTGTCCACTCGCCCTTCATTCCTCCCCCTGCCTCTCATCCATCCCTCATGCGCCCTCTTGCTTTCCTGCCCGCCCAGCCCTCATTCTCCTGCTTCCCGAACGCCCATCCCTGCTCCCTGTCCCACCCCCCCTTTGCCTCCCACCCCCCCTGCCTGCAGGGCGGTGCACCACAACCAGCTGTCAGGCCCCATCCCCGAGTACCTCTGCCAATCCGCGCTGCAGATTATGTAATGCCCACATGGTCTACCACCCCATGTCTCCACCTACCCACCTTCCCACCTGCCCACCTTCCCACCTACCTACCTTCCCACCTGCCCACCTTTCCATGTTCCCACCCACCTGCCCCCCTTCCACCTGCCCCCCCTTTTATCTGCCCCCTTCTTCCACGTGCCTGCCCGTCCACCGGCAGGCTACTGGGCAGCAACGCCTTCTCGGGGGCCCTCCCTCAGTGCCTGCCCTTCGTCTCCTCCGTCCAACTCATGTCTGTTTCCTTTCACCTTTCGCCATTCAACCTTCACCCTTTGCTCTTCAGTTTTGCCCCATTGGCGCATCACCCTGACGTTGTTCCTGTTGCTCTTTCTCTCCGCTGCTCTTCTTGTCGCACTCTCGCTTGTAACCCTCGACCTCCAATCGTGCTGCGAATTCTGCTGCCTTACCTTCCACTTCATCTCCGCTCCTCACCTCTCCTCTCCCTCTGTCCCCCCTTCCTCCCCTTACTCTGCGCCTGTCTCCCAGTGACGTCAGCAACAATCTGATCTTCATGGACGCCGCATCCTTCCAAAACATGCCGCCCATCAGCCTGAACATCAGCGGCAACTACCTCTACGGCTCTCTCTCCCCCTCCCCCAACATCACCCTCTCCTCCTCCTCCCCAGCCCCACCCTTCCCCTCTCTCCTCTTCCCAGTGACCCCCCAACCCCAGTCCCTTCCACCCTGGGCAGCCCAGGATGCAACGAATTCTCAGTGGGTGTGGGTGGCGCAGGGGGGACAGCAGGGGGGAACTGGGGCAGGAGGGGAGGGCGGGGGGAATAGCAGCGCAGTGGCATGGCTGGCTGTGGAAAAGAACTGTCTTGGGAGTGAGGGGGTGGGGCAGCAGCGGGGGGCGGGAGAGTGTGCGGCGGTGTGTGGGATAGAGTCAGGGCAGGGACCCTGTGGGGGTGCGGGGGCAGGGCAGTGTGTGGTGCAGAGCGGTTGGCCGCCGTCCCTCTCCTGCTCCTGCGCCAGTGGCTACGTTGCTGTCACTGCTGCCGGCACTGCCAACACCACCACTTGCCAGCTGCCACCCCCTTCCCCTCCCGGTATGTTGAATCAGTGGCTTGGGTTGCTGGTCCAGCTGCCAAAGCCAGTGGCTTGAGCTGCTGCCCTGCCCTGCTCCACCTTCCAGCATGTACCCAACCTTCTTAGCTGCCTTCTTTAGCTTCACTCCCACTCCATTTCCCTCTCTCTCTACTTCTCAACGCCCTTACCCCGCTCCATCTCACCATACTCCCCTTCTCCCTCGATCTCGCACCATTCCCCCCCTCGTCCCCCCCTCCCCCCCTTCTCGACCCTCCCTTTCCTTCCTTCCTCCTCATCCCCCCAACTCCCTCTCATCTCCCTCTTTCCCCCTTCGTCCCCCCCCCCTTCCTCCCCTCGTCTCCCCCTCTTCCCCCACTCGTCCCCACCCTTCCCCCTCCTCGTCCTCCCCTATCCCCCATAACCATGCAATGAGGGCTCTGTTACCCATATCTCACCACTCTTTTCCGTGCCGCTACAGCTCCCGTTAACCACCACCCCCTGTCCCTGAACCTCTCCTTCCTTGGCAGTGTCCTCGCTATCCACGGGCGCCATAGTGGGCATGACGCTGGGCTGCTTTGCTGGCTTCACGCTGCTGGCAGCCGTGCTCGCATGGCTGCTGTGGCCCCGCGGACCAAGTGAGCGCCCCTTCTCTTTTCTTCACCTCCGTTCCATCTCCCATAATGCTCTACCTCTTTTCTAGCCTCTTTCTCTGCTCAAATTGTCTGCTGTTTTTCCTGCTTTTCAACTCTCCCTTTCCACTACCTACCCTCGTGCCCTCTCTACTCGTCTACGCACTTAGTCCCTCATTCCTCTGCTCTCTCCCCTCGTCCTGCTGTGTGCACCCGCACAGAGAAGTGGGAGGGGTTGGATGTGTGTGAGCAGTTCTCGCTGCAGCAGATGCTCAGGGCCACCAACAACTGGTCAGAAGAGAATGTGCTGGGCAAGGGCGGCTTTGGCATTGTGTACAAAGGCCGCTCGCCACAGGGGCAGCTGTGGGCCATCAAGCGATCCACCATCATGACCAACGACTTTGAAACGGAGGTCAGGCATCCCTCTACTCCCTGCTTTCCGCCCACAGAGCACAGAAATATAACAGCACCCTTTGCTGTCCAAAATTCCGTGCTCACCTTTCCATGTCCCTCTGCATCTGCCTGCATTGTGTTTTAACTTCCATGTGCACGTTGCAGGTGCGAGCCATGGCATCGCTGCACCACGTGCATCTGGTGCGGCTGCTGGGCTTCTGTCTGGACCAGAACGTGGAGACGGGCAAGCAGGAGCAGATCCTCGTGTACGAGTTCATCGGCAACAGGGACCTCCAGTACCACGTCCATTCCACCAAGCGTGAGTTGCACTGGCGTGCGTTGCTCTGGCACGATGGCTAAATGGATTCCAGGCATTTGCTTTTCTCTGCATGCGCGTGCTGCACTGGCACGACTGCTCAATGGTTGCCATATTTTTCTGCACAGGGCATGAAACCGTCTCTCATATAACTGCACGTTCTTCTCCATATGCGTGCTTCCTGAATCAGGTCCGCTCTCTCTGCGCCAGAGGCTGCGCCTAGCGCAGGGAGCAGCAGAGGGCCTGGCGTACCTGCACGGGTTCGACACACCCATCGTGCACCGCGACATCAAGCCAGCAAACATTCTCGTGACAGCCGACATGCAAGCCAAGGTGGCTGACTTTGGGCTGCTCAAGCGCCTCACTCACGGCGATGCTGACGCCACGCGAGTGGCCGGCACTCCAGGCTATGTGGACCCGGATTACAACCGCACCAACGTCATCACCGCCAAGAGCGATGTGTTCAGGTGAGCATCGCATGCATGCTCGTTCCTTTGCACAGTGCCATGAATATGTGCACCTCACTTGTTTTCCACCTCACTTGTTTTCCACCTCACTTGTTTTTCACCTCACTTGTTTTTCACCTCACTTGTTTTTCACCTCACTTGTTTTTCACCTCACTTGTTTTTCACCTCACTTGTTTTCCACCTCACTTGTTTTCCACCTCACTTGTTTTCTAATCTTCCATGTTGATGTTGAATTGTTGTATCCTACGGCTGTCTCATTTTCCTTTTCCAAGTTTATTCCTGTCTCCAATGGATGATTTCTTGCAGCTTTGGAATCGTGCTTCTTGAGTTGCTGAGTGGAAGGTCACCCCAAGTTGACACAAAAACACATATAAGCAAATGGGTAAGATCGTCAACTATGAAATCCATGTTTCCAGTTGTCGCAAATATGAATGTTGCATGTCAGAGAATATTTATGCCCTTCACATCTCGAATCTGTCTCTTCATTCTTTTATGGCCGCACGTTTATTCTATATTCCCATTCGTTCTGGTTATCACAGCCTTTCCTTGTTGTCATGCTGCCTTGTACCTCATTTCCTGCTTATCATGCTGTTTTTCACCGCCTCTCCCATGCGTCATCCCTTTCCTTGTGTGGACACCCTCCAGGCAATGAAGAGGGTGGAGGCGTATAATCTAGAGGAGTTGCGGGACAGCAAGATGCCAGCGGCCAGTGAGGAGGCGATAGTGGACTTTGCAGACCTGGCTCTGGACTGCATCAAGTCTCCCGGCACACGGCGACCCACCATGAAGGATGTGGCATACCGCCTCAGTGCCCTCATTGAAAAGCACTGCCCCGACAGGGAGGATGAGTGGGAGAGTATTGCGAGAGAAGAGAGTGCAAGCGACGAGGGTGTGTCTTCAAGGGATGTTTCTGCTGTTTCGTTTGGAGATGGTGGGAGTGGCTCACAGTCTGGTGTGAGCTCGTTTGTGCGTGTTAGCTCGATAGGTGATGGCCTCCGGAGTTGGCTGCAATTGAAGCCAACCAAAGGGCGCTGATGAGTTTGGTCATCATGCTTACGGTCATTATACTTAAATATGGCCTATTTACTAACACAAAGCTATGGTGCGGTGCCGCAAGAGCATTAGGGTCTGCCCTTTGGATTGGAGGATGTGAGCAAGTCCAGCACCCTAGTTTCACCTTTTCACTAGGGTATCCTGATAATTAATTAAGCTTAAAAATGAGAGGCAAGACTCACACGTGTTCCTGAGTTGAGTTGCTGTTGAAGCACCACCTGAAAGGAGGACTTGTGGATTCATCAATGCTTGGTGCATCTTGCAGCACAGCAGAAAATAGTCAAGAAGTCGTAGAAGACCTACAAAGTGCTTTAGCGCGTATGACGCTAAACCCAATCGGTTTGGTTCGGACATCTTGAACGTTGTCTTTCTCCCTCGATGTCGCTTTCGTCTCGACCGAGCCTCGTACCGCCGTCACCGCAAGTCCCCATGCCAGCCGCCCCAAGCCGAATGTTGCCTTGGGTTCGCGTCAAATGCCCTGACCTGGTTGGTTTGGGAGGGACTGCCGCCAAATTACCGCAGCTGGCAGCAAGACTTTTTCCTACAGTAGACCCCATGCCACTTGCTCTGCCGTGTTCTGGTGATAGCCTAGCTTTTCCAATATCGCAGGCGAACAAATATGGCTGCCTGAGCTTGCACGAAATCGTGGTGTTTTGCCAAGCCGTGGGATGGGATGGGAATCCTGGCTTCATAGAAAGTGACTTTTGAACATGTTTGGTCGTCGCCGTGCCAGGTTGTTGGGGAATGCAGTACACGATGATTGGAGAGGAGGGTACATAATCGTCCTCAGTCGCAGAGGCTTGTATAGTCTGGCTGGAATGCCTGTTGAGCCTAAGTCGCTTCGCCTGAACGAGTGCTGTGTGCGAGCGCACCGCCGCGCCGACCACACGCGCTGTGGCGTGCAGGAGAGGCAAAGTGATGCTTGAAGCGTTGAGAAAGACTCAAGTATCCCGCTAATATTCCTGGGAACTTTAGGAGACGGTTTTTCGGAGCTGAAGTTATAATAGGCCGGAAGACAGTGACAGGAAAAGGCTTTGGCTCTGAGGCTTCTGTCTCATCCGTGCCGGCCCGACTTCTACGCTTCAGCTGCAAGGAAGAGTCCATGAAATTTATTTATCTGATTCTCTGGTAAAGTAGGCTGGTGTTGCTTTGCTGCACATCGCACCGATTTCTCCAGCCTGATAGCCTGACACTGTACGAGCGACTTTTGATACGACCAATCTCGGATTCTGTCGTTGGCAATAGTGCGTACTAAGATTTCACGCAACTCTCTTGGGTTCGGTATCCCAATCTCACGCAACCCAGACTTCGGTTCGATATCCGTTGGCCGTAAGATTCGTAGCTCGGGTGGATCGATGGCGGCTTCCAGGGGAAGCGCCTTGGCGTTAGCGGCTGTGCTGCAGCTGCTGCTCCTACTGCTTGCGGGTAACGTCGTGCCGAGCGCGGGTCAGGACACGAGCCTGCAGCAGTGCTACTGGCCGCTCAACGACACGGAGGGTAGGCTCGCTCTCTCTCGCGCATGTCGGCTTCCTTTTACGCAATCTCGCTTTTGAGTCGGCTCAAAAGGTCAGGACACGAGCCTGCAGCAGTGCGTCTGGCCGCTCAACGACACGGAGGGTAGGCTCGCTCGCTCTCGCGCATGTCGGCTTCCTTCCACGCAATATCGGCATTGTTTCACGCTTTTTCGTCTTTGCCTCTCATCGTCTCACGCAATGTCGGGTTCGTTCCTCAGTATCTTAAGCAATCTCGGGTTCGCTTCTCAGCGTTTTAAGCAATGTCGGGTTCGCTCTTCAATATTTCACGCTATGCTTGGTATCGCACAATCTTAGCTCAATTCTAATATGCGACGTAATATCGCTCTCACGCGTCCCCAACTGTAACGTGCTGAATCTGCTTCTTTTTCGCAGCGAGTATTTTGGGGGATGTGGGAGCGAATCTGGATTACTTTCCGTACGACTTTTCATTCATCACCACTTGCGTCAACGTCGGCCTCACATGCAGCGACGCGGGCTATGTCACTCAAATGTCAGTGTTGCTGCTGCTTCTCCTGCCACCGCTGGTGCTAATGCCCAGGATAGGTTATGTTTCTTCTCGAAATAACAGGAGGGGTACGAGACGGTATCTTTCCTTGACGGTATCTTGCCTTGACTCGTGGTTGTTGTGCTCGCAGAAACTGGCAGTACAAGGCGATTCAAGGGGAGCTTCCTTCACAGATTTTCCAGCTGATGCACCTTGAATATCTGTGAGAGCCCGCGATTCCAGTGCCCTGAATACCTGCGTGAGTCTTCGCTTCAAGCCACTGAATACCGTCAGGACTGGCCTGCTCCATTGCAATTTGCGCCATCAGCTCAACGCATTGCAACCGTTCACAGGAGCTAAGAGCCATGATGCCATGCAGCACTTGCCTTTTCAACCATTTCATGCCGTTTGATACCGCGCTGTGCCATGCCATACCACGCGACCAACGCTGATGCGTGAGTCGTTCGCAGGTCGCTGCGAGACAACTACCTGCGTGGCACCATCCCCACTGAAATCGGCAACCTCGTCAATCTCACGTTTTTGTCAGTTCGCTTCCTCCACCTGCAATTCGCTTTTTGAGGCGCCTCAAAAAAAGTTCTCTTCCTCCGCGTGCAATTCGCTCCCTATTGGGTAGCATCGACCAACTGTCTATTAACTTCGTCGCTCTGTCAGTTACATTGCCCCTCCGTCAGTTAACTTCATATATTTGTCAGTAACATAGCCCGACTGGCAGTTGGCCTCCTCACCTTTCTGTCAGCCTGGCACGCACGTGACTCCTCTAACGGATTCTCTGATTTGTGTTTCTGTGAATTGTGTGTGTGGGGGGGGAGGGGGGGGAGGGGGGGGAGGGGGGGGGGGGGGGGGGGGGGGGGCGGTGTGTGTGTGTGTGTGTGCGCGCGCGCGCATGCGTGCGTGTGTGTCTGTGGATATGAGTGTATCTGTGAGAGTGTGTGCGTACATGTGTGAGAGTGTATGCACTCGTGTGCGAACGCATTTGTTCGAGTGTGAGGATAAATGTTTGTGTGTAAATGCATGTGCGTGTGGGGATGCACGTGTGTATGGGGATGCATGTGTGTGCTTGTGTGCGAGTGTGAGTGGCATGCATGCATGGCAGGGACATATCCAACAACTCCTTCTCAGGCCCCTTCCCCACCTTCTTCAGCCGACTCACCAAGCTCTCCTATCTGTCAGTTAACAATCTGTCTCAGTCAACAGTTCTTACCTGTTCAGTTAACACAATTTCTCGGTCAGTAACAATTTCGTCCCCATCAGTCACGTTTTCGTCTCTGTCAGTCAAGCATTCCCATGTGCCAGCCATCAATTTCAATCTGCTGGTTAGGCAGCAGTTGGCTCTACCCGCTCCTATGTCCTGCCATGGCATGTCATGCCCTGCCATGACATGCCTTGCCAAGGCATTCCATATCATGCCTTGCCATGCCCTGTCCTGCCATGTCGTGCCATGCCCCCCACCACCAGGTACATGCGGGATAACAAGTTTACCGGCAGCATTCCCGATGCCATCGCCAACATGGTCTCTCTCGGCGACCTGTACGTCCGCCGCCCGACATGAACGTGTGCCGAAGGCATGCACGTGCGCTGCCAAGCATCCACCCAAACACCCATGCTATGCTGGCCCTCCTTTCCTCTCTCCCTCGCCCCATCTGCACCCCCTCTGCATCATCTTCTCCTTCCTCCCCCTCCCCTTCCCCTGCATCCACAGGACCTAAGCTACAATTCACAGGTCCATGTTTTGGAGGCTCTGAGAATTATCGTAATCTCCCTCCTCTCCCTCCCCTTCCCCTGCCACCGCAGGGACCTAAGCTACAATGGCTTCACAGGGTCACTGCCCTCTCGCATTGGTCGACTCACCAACCTCTTCAACTTGTGAGCCACCTGCCACGATCTGCATCTCTGAGTGACCATGTGAGTGAGCTGCTTAAGTAGTACAACACTTGCAAATTGCAATCACTCTGCAGCCCGTGTGAAAGCTTGTCTCAGCCGTCAGCTTTCATTTACCTTCCCTCTAGCGTCGTATTTTATCCCAATCACAGTCATCTCAGCCCGGTGCATGCAGAGCCGTCTCACAAACGGTTATTCATGAGAGCGAAGCAGGGGGTGCGCAACTCAAGAAGCAACATGCGTGTGGCTTGTGTGTGGCTTGTGTGTGGCTTGTGTGTGGCTTGTGTGTGGCTTGTGTGTGGCTTGTGTGTGCAGAGCCCTGTCACGCAACCAGCTGTCAGGGTCCCTCCCCAACTCCTTCTCCAACATGGCCAGCCTCGGCTCCATGTGAGTCCCACCCCAATGCCACGCCATCCCATGCCATACCCGTGCCACGCCATGCCATGCCATGCCATGCCATGCCACGCCATGCCATGCCATGCCATGCCATGCCACGCCATCCTATGCCACTCCATCCCATGCCATGCCGTGTGATGCCTTGCTATTCCATGCTATGACTCAGCTCCATGCCATGCCACGGCATGCCATGCCATGAACACTGCCACTACCATCCTGCCAAGCATCTCCATCTTACCACCCGCTGCATCTGCCACTGACCAGCTCTTCCTGGCTATTCACCATATCGCATGTCTCTCCACACACCCACCTCCCCCTCCGCCTCACACCCCCATGCCCCACACCCCCCCATGTGCAACACTCTATCTCCCCGTGTCCCCACATGGCAGAGAGCTGGACCATAACCAGTTTTCAGGGTCACTGGCGCCGCTCGCTACTCTCTCCTCCCTCGCCTCAGTGTGAGCACTTCTCTCCTCCCTCACCACAGTGTGAGCACTTCTCTCGTCTTCCTTGCCTAGCACTACTCTCGGCTTCTGTGCCCTAGCAATACGACAAACTTTCCTTCTGTCTTCACCCAAAACCCCTTGCCCTCTCCCTATCTCCCCTTCTTTGTTCGCCCCATTGCCCATGGCCCCGCGCAGCACCCTGTGTTGCAACCGCTTCAACGGTTCCATACCGTCCACCTTCGCCAGCAACGTCTTCTACTCCTTGTAGGCCTCTCACTCTAAGTCCGTGGGAGGTTTGAGTCCATGTATGCTTCCACACAATCAACAGGTCTATACCATCCACTTTTGCGAGCAACGTCGTCTTTTTCTTGTAGGCCTCCGACCTACAACCATACCATGTGCCATGCGCCATGCGCCATGCGCCATGTGCCATGTGTCATGCCCCATCGGCCATGTGTCATAATGCTATTGCCATACACATGCCATCCATGGCTACCATCATAACATATATTCACCATGACATGCCCTGTTTCCTCTCTTATACGCGTCCACACATATACCTCCTCACATCCCATTCCGTACTCTCACGCCTACTCAATACACCAACTTCTCCTTCTCCTTGCGCTCCATCCACACCTTCTTCTCCCTCCTCCTTCCGCCTGCCCGCTTTCCACACGACGGACTGCCAGTCGACTCGAACTCATCTCTCCTTCCTCTCACACCCACCCCATCCCTCCCCCCAACCATGGTGTGCCAGTGACGTGTCAGTGAACGAGCTCACAGGGCCGCTGCCCTCCGGTCTCAGGTTCACCGAACCTCCTGGCGGCCCCAATTTGTGAGTCCCCTTTGCCTCTGACCCTCTGCTTCTGACCCTTCTGCTTGTGAGGCTTGCTCCCTGTCCTTCCTTCCAAATGTTATTTATTCCAACCTGATTGTTTTCCTCCTTTCCCATCTATCAACTCCCGTCCCTCTGGCCTGCTGTGTGCCACTCTTCCTCCCTATGCATCCCTGTGGCCCCCTGTGTGCCCCTCTGCACTCCTTTGTGCCCCTACGTACCCCTGTGCACCCCTGTGTGGCAGCAACGCGTCATACAACCGCCTGTCAGGGGAAATCCCTTTCGACTTCAACGTCAACTTCTTCTTCACCCTGTACGTCGCCCCTCCCCCTCCTTCTTCACCCTGTACGTCGCCCCTCCCCCTCCTTCTTCACCCTGTACGTCGCCCCTCCCCCTCCTTCTTCACCCTGTACGTCGCCCCTCCCCCTCCTTCTTCACCCTGTGCGCCCCCCCCTCCCCCACCTCCTTCACCCTGTGCGTCACTCGCCCTTCCCCCTCCTTCACCCTTGTCTTCACACCCCCACCTCCTGCATCTCGCACTCCCCCTTTTCCCTCTCTCTATCCCATTTTTCCTGCTCTATCGCCTGAATCGTTGCCCCTCTTCTGCCTCGGTTTCCCTTCCCAGGGACATATCTCATAACAATCTGTCGGGCAGAGCGTTCTTTTCCGGGCAGAAGGAGTTCCCGATGACTTTCACCATGTATGTGAGACATCTAAGCAGCATGGTGGTTGTGAGTGCATGAGCAGCCACTGGCAGCAACACCCAATCATCAGCCATTGATTGTGACAACCATTTTGCTCTGCACAATCAATCCCTCCACCATCACACCCCAACAACGGTTCCTTCCCATCCCATCATCTCAACACCCTCATACCCTCACACCAACACAACCATTCTCTCTCACACACACCCGTGCCTGCCCATCCATCCTTTACTCTCCATTCATCACCCTGTCTCCCCTACCCCCCCACTTCCTCCATCACCACCCTCTCTCCCTTTTCCCCTCCTCTACTTCCTGCCCCTCTTCTCCCTCCTCCAGCAACTTTTCGCACAACAAATTCTCGGGAGCGATCGACCCGTCCCTCTCCACCCTCACATACCTTCACGACCTGTGCGTTGTTCTCCCTCCCCCCCGTTCTCTCGCAAAAGAGCGATCGACCCCTCCCTCTCCACCCTCACATACCTCCACGACCTGTGCGTTGCCCTGCCTTTCCCACCACTCTACGCGTTTCCTTTAAAATCACTAAACATCATGTTTTGTGAGGAGAACCCACCCAGCTTGTCGCTCCATTCGCTGTGCCAAGCACGCCTATTTGGCCTGCTGCGCCTTGACCCACTCACTCCCACCAGCTGCACCCGTCCCTCCTGTGGGGGCGGGGGGGGTCCGCCGGGTGTTCTGCCTCTCCTCTACATCTCCCATCACCGCCCATATTCTCCTCGTCACCTCCCCACCGTGTCCCTGTGTGCCCCCTCCCCCCAACACAGGGACATGTCAGGCAACCTCCTCACGGGCTCCATTCCAGCCTTCATTTCGCAGCTCACCAACCTCACTCTGCTGTATGCCCTTGCTTTGCTGTATGCCGTCACTCACTCTGCTGTATGCCGTCACTCACTCTGCTGTATGCCGTCACTCACTCTGCTGTATGCCGTCACTCACTCTGCTGTATGCCGTCACTCACTCTGCTGTATGCCGTCACTCACTCTGCTGTGGTGCCCTCACTCACTCTGCTGTATGCCCTTGTTTTGCTGTATGCCCTTGTTGTGCTGTATGCCCTTGTTGTGCTGTATGCCCTTGTTGTGCTGTGGGCCCTTGTTGTGCTGTGTGCCCTTGTTGTGCTGTGTGCCCTTGTTGTGCTGTGTGCCCTTGTTGTGCTGTGTGCCCTTGTTGTGCTGTGTGCCCTTGTTGTGCTGTGTGCCCTTGTTGTGCTGTGTGCCCTTGTTGTGCTGTGTGCCCTTGTTGTGCTGTGTGCCCTTGTTGTGCTGTGTGCCCTTGTTCTGCTGTATGCCCTCACTCTGCTGTCCACTATTCATGCGTGGGTGCAATGGTTGGGTGGGAGAGCAACCCTCAGGTACCTCACCCTTCCCCCAAGTGCCTCCCTCCCTGAGCGCAACCCTCTCCCTGCCCGCAACCCTCTCCCTGCCCACACTGCTCCAAAACCCTGCCCTCCACCTCACCCCACTCCGTACCTCCATGCCTCTCCCTGCCCTCATTCCACTTCCCACCCACCCTCTCATTCCACCCCTCTCCCCTGCAGCGACCTCTCCTCCAACCAGCTCACTGGGGTCGTGCCGCCAGCTATCAGCAACCCCACTAACCTCGTCAGCATGTGAGATGCCATGTCAGCATGTGAAATGACACGTCAGCATGTGAGGTGTCACTGTGATGTCAGCAGGTGAGGTGTCACTTCCGCATGCTGAGCACGTGTGGTGGTATTCGTGCGTCTGTCACCTCCTAATATTGACAACTCCTGCTCCTATCCACCCACCCCGCCCACCCCTACCCACCCCCGCCCACCCTCGCCCACCCCTACCCACCCCCGCCCATCCTCGCCTACCCCGCCCCCCCCCCTCACCAGCAACCTGGCACACAACCTTCTGCAGGGCTCCATTCCCCGAGCCCTTTCGCGCCTCACCTCCCTCACCTACCTGTGCGCCCTCCTCTCCCTTGCTCGCCATGCCACTGCTCCTCGTCGTGCCATGTCACGCACGCACCATGTCATGCCATGTCACGCACGCACCATGTCATGCCATGTCACGCACGCACCATGTCATGCCATGTCATGCACGCACCATGTCATGCCATGTCACGCACGCACCATGTCATGCCATGTCCTTCCACTTAAATTCTCCCAGTGGTACGCCCACTACCATTCAATACGCCATGCCTTGTGTGAAAACCATCACCTGATGCCCTATACCCCGTACTCACCCTAATCTTCATACCCCAAACCCAATACCCCATGCGTGCCCCCTCCCAGCAACGTGTCGTCCAATCAGCTGTCAGGAGACATCAGACCCGCACTCTTTCCGCTGCAATCCCTCGAGCTTGTGTGAGGCCCTCGTGTTGAGAGGGGAGTTGGCTGCTTGGCATGGGATATGGGGCATGGTGCATGGAGCGTGGGTCCTTGAGAAACGGGTGTGGGGCGTGGGGTGTGGGGCATGACGCATAAGCAGGGGATAGATTACGTTGTACCAGCTTAGCTCTCCATTGATTCCCCCATGCTGTATCACTGTTCCTGCACCCCCTCCCCCGGATTCTCGTGTCCCCTCTCAACTCCCATCGCTTCATCTCACCTAAATCCCTGTCATGGGATTAACACCCCATGCCCTGCCATCCCCCCCATGCCCTGCCATACCTCCATGCCCTGCCATTCTTCCCCATCCCTCCATGGTCCACAGTGACATCTCAGCCAACACATTCAACGGCTCTGTTCCGCCCTTCTTCGGTTACATGCCCAACATGACTCACCTGTACGTATCGGCATGACCCACCTGTATGTACTATGTATGGCATGACCCACCCTGTATGGCATGACTCACCTGTATGGCATGACCCACCAGCTCAAACCATTAAAACGTGGAGCATGCCAGGTCGTCCTATGCCATGCCATCTCATGAACGTAACATGTCGATTGCCTTACCTTGCCCACGCCATGCCATGCCACGCCATGCCACGCCATGCCATGCCATGCCATGCCATGCCACGCCATGCCACGCCATGCCATGCCATGCCATGCCACGCCATGCCATGCCATGCCATGCCATGCCATGCCACGCCATGCCACGCCATGCCATGCCATGCCACGCCATGCCATGCCATGCCATGCCATGCCATGCCATGCCACGCCAATGCCCTGCCATCCCACGCCACACTATGGCAGGGACATGGCCATCAACCTTCTCTCTGGCTCACTGCCTCCTGCCATCTTCAACCTTCGACAGCTTTCCTACCTGTCAGTCAACTCTCCCACCTGTCAGTCAACTCTCCCACCTGTCAGTCAACTTTTCCGCCTGTCAGTCAACTCTCCCACCTGTCAGTCAACTCTCCCACCTGTCAGTCAACTCTTCCACCTGTCAGTCAACTTCGCCACCTGTCAGTCAACTTCGCCACCTGTCAGTCAACTTCTCCACCAGTCAGTCAACTTCTCCGCCAGTCAGTCAACTTCTCCACCAGTCAGTCAATTTCTCCACCTGTCAGTCAACTTCTCCACCTGTCAGTCAACTTCTCCACCAGTCAGTCAACTTCTCCACCTGTCATCGTCTTTCCCCTCCTCTATGCCCCTGGCCATCAACTTCCCGCATCAGAGCATCAGAGTCTAGCAACCAGCATTGGTCTCCTGTGCCTGCTGCTCGCTCATCAGTCCTCCTCACGTCGTCCGCCCCTCTGCCCTCTGCCCTGCACCGTGCTACTGTCTGTCTATGCAGCAACGTGTCTCGCAACCGCCTCTCAGGCCCTCTGCCCAACGCTGCTGCCAGTCCAGCTCTCATCATGTGCGTATGCCCTGGAAATTATGAGATCCTTGGTAACCATGAGATCCCTGGTAACCATGAGATCCCTGGTAACCATGAGATCCCTGGTAACCATGAGATCCCTGGTAACCATGAGATCCCTGGTAACCACGAGAGCCCCGCTAACATACCATTTGAATCTCGTATGTCAGTATCTCCATCCCCTTCCCCCACCCTCCCGCCTATCCTCCTGCACCATCCCTTTCCTCGTGCTGGTTCTCTCAACCCTCCCCACTTTCTCCTTCCTCCCACTTCCTCCCACCCACTTGTCCCTCCCCCCCATTTCCGCCCATCCATGTTACTCCCTCCTCTCGCCCCTCCACAGAGACCTCTCATTCAACACGCTCTCAGGGACACTGGAGAGCCAGCATGTCAACCTGAAGCGACTGGCATTGCTGTGAGTGCCGCCACGTGCCGCTCCTCTCACTCACTGTCGTCCGCCCAGCATCTCTGCTTGTGTGACTTCAGCTGCGCTCTTCTTGCTTCCTCTTTTTGACTGACTCGCTCCACACTCTTTCTCTACCCTGCCCCGCGCATGCCTCCCCACGGTTATATTGCCCAGCCAAACCCAATTGCCCCCATTGCCGTCCTTGCTTCCCACCCGCCAACCTCTCATCCTCCATCCTGCTTCCCACCCCCCCATGCCTGCAGGGCGGTGCACCACAACCAGCTGTCAGGCCCCATCCCCCCACCCCCCATGCGCCCTCTCTGGCCCCAACCCCCATTCTGCCCATGCTCCTCCCTGCAGGGCGGTGCACCACAACCAGCTGTCAGGCCCCATCCCCGAGTACCTCTGCCAATCCGTGCTGCAGATCATGTAACGCTCGCACCCTAAACCTAAACCCTGTACCATTCACACTACCCAAGACGCTCTTATAGACGCTCTTATAAACCTAGCAGTGATGCTGTGTGGCAAGCAATCAGGTTATGTTACACTAGTCCTGTGGCAAACAGCCGGTTATGATGTTCTGGACATCCCTGTAGAAAGGCATTTCATCATGCCCAGAAAGGCATGCATATGCACCACGCATTGCACTCCTGGCCCAATGCATTGCACTCCTGGCCCAATGCATTGCACTCCTGGCCCAATGCATTGCACTGGTGGCCCAATGCATTGCACTGGTGGCCCAATGCATTGCACTGGTGGCCCAATGCATTGCACTGGTGGCCCAATGCATTGCACTGGTGGCCCAATGCATTGCACTGGTGGCCCAATGCATTGCACTGGTGGCCCAATCTATGTTGGAAAATACGCGACCAGCGTACGGAACGCGTTCGAACTATACGCTACCGTACATTCGTGATACGCTGACTTCCAGCGTACAAAAAAACCCGAAATACGGGGTGCCGGGCAGGCAAAAAGATTCTTCGGGCAGGTATAAAACACTTCAGTGGAGGTAGAATCCTTTAGGAGTTTTTTTTTTTTTTTTCCCCCTAGATGCTCGCTGATGCGGGTGATCTCCTGGGCGTTTCTGCCATAAGGAACTCTGAAATGTTTGAGGGATCGTTGGCCAGAACGCCCTGAAATTTCGGCCGCGAAGATCCTGCGACGTGACGCTTAAGCCACAATAACAGACGCGGCATTGGCGGTTGACATAGCTGTTTGAAGCTACATCGTAGATTAAGAAGTGACGTAGAGTAAAATAGGTGTGAGGCAATTGAGATACGAAAGGCTGTTGTACTCTCGCCGACGTAAAAGCTGATAGCTGCAAGTGGTTGGTGGGAGGGAAAGGTTGGGTTTGGGAGGTCGTGTGCGGTGATGTGCAGTGGAAAAGGGGGGTGGGGATCAATTCGAGTCTCGAATGTCAAATTTAGGTTTCACAGAATCGCAGATCGCGAAAATGGCGGAACATAGTTTTGATTTTTTTTTCGGGCTGGCCGACCTAACCGTATCGCGTATTCTGGACGTATCACGTTTTTCCGTATATACGTTTCCGTACAAACGTGATACGCGACGAATTCTTAGCGTATAGTGCAACATAGGGCCCAATGCATTGCACCTTGCTGCGCCAGCCGCTTTCTCTCTGCTCTCATCCATTTGGGTTCTGTCCTGACTTCACCTACCCACCCACACCATCCATCTTGTTGGTTTCCTCACCTCCTCGCTTCTCTCACCTTCTTTCTTTCTCTCACGTTCTCATGTTGCCTCTCTGTCCCCACCTGCCCACCTGCCCACCTCTCATACCCCCCTGTCCACCTCCCCACCTGTCCGCCCGTCCACCTGCAGGCTACTGGGCAGCAACGCCTTCTCAGGGGCCCTCCCTCAGTGCCTGCCTTTTCTATCCTCCATCCAACTCATGTCCGTTCCCCCCTTCATCCTTCACCCTTTAACTTTCACTCTCCACCCTTCACCTTTCCCTATCACCCTTGCCTCGCTGTAACCCGCCCTTGTCTCTGCTCCTCATCCTCCTGTTGTCTTGGTAAAACCGCCTCCAACCTTCCCAACCATCTTCTGCTCCCAATCTCTCGTCCCTGCCCCTGTCCCCCGGCCTCCCCTTACTCTGCGCCTGTCACCCAGTGACGTCAGCAACAATCTGATCTTCATGGACGCTGCATCCTTCCAAAACATGCCGCCCATCAGCCTGGACCTCACCGGCAACTACCTCTACGGCTCCTTCTCCCCCTCCCCCAACATCTCCCTTCTCCTCCTCCTCCTCCTCCTCCTCCTCTTCCTCGCCCCCCATCCCCTCTCTCATCCTCCCAGTAACCCCCCAACCCGAGTCTCTTCCCCCCTGGGCAGTCCAGGAGGTAACGAACCCTCAGTGGGTGTGGGGGGCGCAGGGGGGGCTGCAGGGGGGAACTGTAGCAGGAACGGGGGGGCGGGGGAATAGCAGCGCTTCAGTGGCATGGCTAGCTTTAGATGGGAACTGTGTGGGGAGCCAGGGCGTGGGGCAGCAGCGGGGGGCGGGAGAGTGTGCGGCGGTGTGTGGGATAGAGTCAGGGCAGGGGCCCTGTGGGGGTGCGGGAGCGGGGCAGTGTGTGGTGCAGAGCGGTTGGCCGCCGTCCCTCTCCTGCTCCTGCGCCAGTGGCTACGTTGCTGTCACTGCTGCTGGCACTGCCAACACCACCACTTGCGAGCTGCCGCCTCCTTCCCCCCCTGGTATGTTCCCTAAACATTGTTGAGTCAGTGGCTTGGGCTCCTGTGCCAGCTTACCAGCAAATACTCACCTCCGCTTGCCTGTATTTCTATGCACCCCACATCCCCCTCTCCCTCTCTCTTAGTCATATCAACCCCCTCCATCCATCCCGCTCCACGCCCCCCTCCTCCCCTCCACAGCGCCCTCATCGGGGCTATCAGCAGGGGCAGTGGCGGGCATAGTGGTGGGCGTTGTGCTGCTGCTCCGTTTCCCACTCTCCCTCCATCTCACACCTCTCCTCCCCATCTCCATCCATCCCGCTCCACGCCCCCCTCCTCCCCTCCACAGCGCCCTCATCGGGGCTATCAGCAGGGGCGGTGGCGGGCATAGTGGTGGGCGTGGTGCTGCTGCTCGCTGCTATCGCTGGGCTGCTCGTCTTCTTCCTCCTCCCCTCACAGAGAAGTCAGTCAGAACCACTTTGCACCGTCTTGCACCACCTCTCACATTTTTTTGAATCTTCGCTTATTTTTCCTTGCACCTCGTTCTCATTGCACCTACACTGCATCGAACCACATCACACTGACACCTCACCGCATTGCATTGCATCGCACCTCACCATCACCAGCCTTCATGAGTCATGCCTTGGATCCTCTTCACCATCTTCCACACCCTCTGCACGCGCTTCCACATTTCCCCTGTCCTGCCATCTACGCCCTTCCACCCCCATCACATTTACTCACTATTCTGCATGCTCGCATTTTCCACCTTTCTCCCTCTCCCATCCCCCAGGGTCGCTGGACCTGGACCAGTGTGTGGCATACCGCATAGAGGACATCCAGGCGCCACCAACAACTCCTTCCCCTGTCCTACTCATCACTCCCTCTGTCGGCCCTTACCAAACCCCACCTCCCCCCCACCTCAGGGTCGCTGGACCTGGATCAGCGTGTGGCATGCTGCATAGAGGACATCCATCCACCACCCCACCAGCAGCCTCTCCCTCTCGTCTCACACAGCGCCCCCCCCACTCTTTCTCCCTTTCATTCCTCCCTCTCCGATCCCCCAGGGTCGTTGGACCTGGACCAGTGTGTGGCGTACCGCATAGAGGACATCCGCCGCGCCACAACAGCCTCTCCTTTCCCTGAATTCTCATCACTCCCTCTCTATCTCCCCTTTTCAAACCCCACTACCCCATCACTACCCTTTCCCCACTACCCAGGGTCGTTGGACTTGGACCAGTGTGTGGCGTTCCGCATAGAGGACATCCGGCGCGCCACCAACAACTTCTCGCCAGAGAGCAAGCTGGGCGAGGGTGGCTTTGGCAGCGTCTTCAAAGGCACCGCCCCCGACGGCACCCTGTGGGCCATCAAGCGCGCCAAGTTCCTCACCAACGACTTCGAGAAGGAGGTGAGATGGGGGGAAGGCAGTGATAGAGCGAGTGTCACGTTCCGGATAAGCAAGTGTTTGAGGAGGGGAGTGGCAGGGGAGTGGTTAGCGCAGGGATACAGCATGCTTTCCATCGGTTCGGGCATCCCTTGTGACATTAAGCCACTCCATTCATCACCCGTGCCTCCTCTTCACCATCCCTACACACTGTCCCTCCTCCCCACCGTGCCCCTTCCCCATGGTCCCCCGTGCAGGTGCGAGCAGTGGCAACACTGCGGCATCAGAACCTGGTGCGCCTGCTGGGGTACTGCATGGATTACAACGCGGCCACGGGCCACCAGGAGCAGATTCTCGTCTACGAGTTTGTCCCACACGGGGACCTCTCCCACTACCTCCACGCAGCCGACGCCCCCCCTGGTTCAACCCAGGTGTCTCTCACCTTTGAAGAGCTCGTGCGGATTGCTCAGGGCGCAGCGGAAGGGCTGGCTTACCTGCACCACTCGCTGTCCCCTCCCATCGTGCATCGCGACGTGAAGCCCGCGAATATTTTGATTGGCGAGGGCCGCACCGCGAAGCTGGGTGATTTCGGGCTGGTAAAGATGGATAACCTGGAAAATGCGACAAACCTGGCGGGCACTCCCGGGTACATGGACCCGGATTATGGTGACAGTAAGATTGTGACAACAGCAAGTGATGTGTTCAGCTTTGGCGTGGTGCTGCTGGAGATGGTGTCGGGGAAGCGGGCCGTGTTGGACGAGAGTGACATCGCCTTCAGCAACCGCCACATTTCCATCTGGGTACGGAACGGACCTTTCTGCCGAGCCGATCACCATTGTAAAAATCGCCTCGCCACGTCTTGCAAAGCAAAAGCTCCTTGCATTCTTCACTAACCTTGATCTTGCGTTCTTGTTTCACATGTGCAGGCGAACGAGCTTGTGATGGCGGGGAAGATCACCCAAGTGGTAATGGAGGAGCTGAAAGCGCCACCTGATGCCATCATCATGTTTGTCGATCTCGCCATGGATTGCCTCAAGCGGCCGGGAGCCTTGAGGCCGGAGATGCGGGAAGTGGCACGGCGCCTCAACAACATCCTTGCCGTTGCACAAGGAAATGCGCCGGTGGGAGCTCATCTGATGAAGCAAAAGTCGTGGATGGGTGGTGCTGAGAACGTTTCGAGTGTCAAGGCTGTAGACGAAGCAGCGGAGCCTTTTAAGGAGGAAACTGCTTAGTTTTTTTATTTGCTCTGCGTGCTTCTGTTTTGTGTGCTCCTGCATTGAAGCAGCTGGTACCCTATGCAGAGAATGTCTTTCCTTCAACTTTACACTTTTAGACATGGTTTTGTTGGACGGATATACTGAATTTATCATTGCATTGTAAATATGGTACCTTTTGCACAAACTCATCAGGGATGCTCAGAAAATCTGGACCTGGACCAGTGTGTGGCGTTCCGCATAGAGGACATCCGGCGCGCCACCAACAATTTCTCGCCGGAGAGCAAGCTGGGCGAGGGTGGCTTTGGCAGCGTCTTCAAAGGCACCGCCCCCGACGGCACCCTGTGGGCCATCAAGCGCGCCAAGTTCCTCACCAACGACTTCGAGAAGGAGGTGAGATGGGGGGGGAGGGAGGGGAGGTGGGCAGATTTGTTTGAGGAGGTGATTGGCAGGTAAGGGGTGAGAGCAGGTAACACCTCGTCTCAGGTGTCGTGCCATGTCTGTTTGCCCTTGTCATTCTATCCCTCATCCCCCTCCCGACCATCCCTCATGCAGGTGCGAGAAGTGGCGATGCTGCGGCACGAGCACCTTGTGCAGCTGCTGGGGTACTGTATGGACTACAACATCGCCACAGGCAATCTGGAGCAGATCCTCGTCTATGAGTTCGTGCCTCACAGCAACCTCTCCCACTACCTCCACGCTCCTCCTGGCGCAACCCGACAGTTGCTCTCCTTTGAGGAGCTCGTACGCATTGCACTGGGTGTGGCGGAAGGGTTGGCATACCTCCACCACTCGCTCTATCCTCCCATCGTACACCGCGATGTGAAGCCTGCAAATATTCTGATTGGCGATGGCAAGACGGTGAAGCTGGGTGATTTTGGGCTTGTAATGACGGATAACCTGGAGGTTGCAATGCCTGGGTACTTGGACCCCGAGTATGGTAACGGCAAGATTGCAAGGACCGCGAGTGATGTGTACAGCTTTGGCGTGGTGCTGCTGGAGATGGTGTCGGGGAAGCGGGCCGTGCTAAATGGGGGTGACACCGCCTTCAGCAACCAACACATATCCGTCTGGGTATGTTACTATGGTCCTTCAAGCCTGGCACCATATTTCGAAAATGCAGAGTCTCTTGCAAGCCCCTCTCTTGGCTGACTTGCTCTCCATTCTCGATTACGTGTGCAGGCAAACAAGCTTGTGATGGAGGGCAAGATCTCCCGAGTGGTGATGGAGGGGCTCAAGGCCCCACGTGATGCCTTCACCATGTTTATCGGTCTCTCCATGGATTGCCTGAAGCGGCCTGGAGCTCTAAGACCGGATATGCGGGAAGTGGCACAACGTCTCGCCAGCATCCTTGCCATTGTATCCAGTAGGAGCTAATGGGGTAAAGCAAAGCTATGGACAGGTGGTGTTGGGATGGGAACAATTCAATTGTCAATTTATAAATAAATCAGCGCAGCCATTCAAGAAAGAAAATGGTGTACTATTCATTGTGAATGTTTATGCTATTTACTTGCGTGATTCTGCTTAGAAATGGCTAAGCAATAAGTTGTCTTCTGACATTGTTTGTATAGCATGATGAGCAAACTAGATAGACGCACATGTAGTTATCGCATTTATGGAACTTATCAGACATGTCAGAGATCCTGCGGGACGGCGAACCTTTCCATCAGCTATTGGAGCATCTCCGAAAGACACCGAGATGACCGTTGCTCGGCACAGCATAACCACGGTTCAAGCGTTGTAGTTTGTATTCACACAAGATGCTGTATTCAGCAAGTAGGTCGCAGCGCAGGTTCTGTCAGTCTGGCAGATTCTAATTCTTTAGTAAACCCGTTACGCTAATTCTTTTTCTGTTCAGTCAACGCGATGGCAGACAGTGATACTGACTCTTCTATAGGTTCCGAGGAACTTGAAGAAGGAGAAGAAGAGCCCAGCTCGCTTACCTTCCGTTCTGATGGTGGCTGGCTGAAGCGCTTCTTTGACTCGGCCTTTTTTTGCGAGTGGATCGCCGTCACGTACCTTTTCAAGTAGGCATGGACAGAATGCTTCCTGTTAAAAGGGAGAAAGAATCTGAATATTGACAGCCGTGTCGTTGCTGTTTCAGGCACCAGAACGGTGGCGTGCGAGACTATTTGTGCGACAGAATGTACTCGTTACCGTTGGAAGGAGTTCAGGACTACTTATTTCAGATATGCTACCTCGCTGTTCACAAACCGAGCCCATCTCTCGAGAAGTATACCACTGATGTCTGTTCCCAGTCGCTGCACTCATTCCTGCGGGTAAGGAGTCCAGTAAAATAGCTGCATTTCGCTCGTCTGTTAAAAATACTGAATTCTGCTATCCTTAATGTGCAGGTATACTGGTTTCTGTCAGCTGAGCTCACTGATCGACCCAACGACCTAATTGTTGCTACCATTCAAGCCAAATTCTACGAGGCTGCTGTGCAGGGTTCGGTTCCTAGCCTAAGGTGTCCCAGACCACCACGGGTTTCGTTTTTCGGACGTCAGAACGTATTTCAACTGATGTCATCAGCCTCCAGGCGTTTGCTTCCCCTGCCTTCTGCCTCCTCCAGCTCCAGCCATGCTGTTGATGGCAAGCACAACATTTTAGCAGGTGCATCGAGCTATGTCTGGGGAAGAGAAACTTCGCAGCAAGGACCTGACGAACTCCCACCTCCCGAAAGCGCTCAATCCGTCCCGTCTCTTGAAGATGATCCAAGCTCCGAATCGAATCTGAAGACTGAACCCAGTGATGGCGTCGTTACACATGAGTCAACATTTTGGCGTTTTCTCCGTGAAAGAAGGCTAGGATCGCCTGCTGCTGATACCAACCAGACCCGTCCAGAGAACATCACTAGCTGGAGCTTTTTGGGGGGAAGAAGAGAAGCAGCGTCAACCATTGTGGGAGAACTTGGAGCAGTGACAGAGGCTGATGAAACTCAGGCAGAGGAAGGAGTGACTGCAGGAGGTTGCAGCCCATCGTTGAATCAAGGCAGACGCAATTCTGGAGGTGAAGCAAGAAATGCTGGTGTCATGAGGCGGCTCTTCTCAGTGGATAGCAATGGGGTGGAAACTCTCCGACTTTCTGATAGGAATGACACATTCTTTCAGCGATTATTTGGGGAGTCTTCTGAAAAAGCTGGACCGAGCTCACTGGATGAAAGCCTGACGACAGCTTCAGCAGCTGAATCATCTGATGCTGCAGTGAACGTTTGTTCATCGGTTGGAGCAGGAGACGCTGCTGTAGCTGAGGCAAACGCGGCAGTTGCTGGAGGAGAAGATCATGAGCTTTTGAGAGATGGAACCGATGAGCATCTTGATTCAAATGCTCAAGAAGGTCTTCTGCAGAGATTGACAAGTGCTGACTCACCTGAAAGGCCTGATCCATCTGACAAGCCAACAGAGCAGGCGCAGGATGGGGGTGGAGCTGCAGTGCCAGCGGACAGTGAAAACGGCTTGCTCAAGTGGATGCTGTGGAAGAGACCTGGTGGCATGAGCAAGGAGGCAGTGACTCTGATCGGAGGAGATGCGCACAAGAAGGAGTCACAGTCAAAAGAAAACACTGGGAGTGAGCACGTGGGACTTCTAAGTCGCATTTTGCATGACAAGACAGAAGCCGCTGGTTCAGTTAAGGAGAGGCCGCAACTTGGATCAACAGATGCAGCAGGATGTGACAGTCATTATGAGCAGATTGAAGGGGAGCAACGGAAGGAAATGGAGCAGCATCAAGCGGATTCTGGGACCTCATCGAGCACCACAGTCCTCAAAGCACTCGTTGCTACAGCTGCAGATGCTGCTTCTGGTGTCGTCGCCACTGCTGCTGGTGCGGCCGGTGTTGTTGCAACCGCCGCCACTGCTACTTCTGGTGTTGTTGTCACGGCTGCTGGCGCAGCATCAGGTGTTGTTGTCACGGCTGCTGGCGCGGCCTCAGGTGTTGTTGCCTCGGCAGCTGGTGCTGCTTCTGGAGTGGCTGCCACAGTCGCTGGTGCAGCATCAGGGGCAAGGTTGCTGGTGGGGGAGGCGGCGAGCCAAGCAGTCAGCATGGTTCCCAAGAATCCACTGCGGCGAAAGGTTCCCCCAGAGGTGGGAAGTGCGTCCATCAGACCAGAGTCGGACTTAGGGACCAGTCCCACTGATGTGAGCTTTGAGCATATGGCAAGCCCAGAACATGAGCATTTCCATGACATACAGGTTCCGCGTAGCAGCATGGCAAGCTTCCTGGCTTCACCGGCTCAGCTGTCGGACTCATGGAGGAGAGATACCTCTCCAGCAGTGGAGTCCATCCATGAGCAGCAGGACAGCAAGCCTACTCCTAAGGCATCCCCTGGATTCATGCGAAGGCTTTTCAAAGACAGGCCAGAGGAGGAGCCCAAGGAGCCTTCGTTTTTCAGTCTGAATGCTGCTGCCACAGCATCCCCGAAAGGAAGTCATGTCCCGGTTGTTGATGCTCCGCTCCCCCAAAAGCAAAGTGCGCTTCGCAGTCTCTTCAGCACACCAACCTTCTTTGCCTCTGGAGCGACTAAGGCCAAAGACATGACTGGAGAGGGTGGTGAGGAGGTTCCGCCAAGTTTTGCAGACCAGTTTGCAAGCAGGATGGGCTCACTGAGAAGCTTCAGTGGGGGTTGGACTTCGGAACATGCACTGTCTAACAAACCAGCCGTTGAAAGTGTAGCTGCGAATTGTCAGACTGACACAAGGGAAGATAGGGAAGCTGATGCGGAATCGCCTGCAACTTCGGCAGAGACAGTCCTTCCCCTGGAGTCTTGCAGCATTGCTGATTCAAATGGAGCGCCACTGACTTCTGCTTTGGTTGATGACGCCAGTCTCTTGACTGTAGGAGTGGTGATGGAGAAGGCATGCCCTTCTCCCTCTTGTCACAAGCAGCCCGCTGCGGCTTCAAGCCCCTGGTCGTTGCGAGCAGAGGGCCTCTTTTCAGCACTCAAAGGAGGAGTTAGAAGTAGTCCAAGCACTGCAGGGACACCCCTGGGACGTGGAGCAACAGAGGGCGTTTCCATCATCGATATTGGGGCTTCTGCTTCCCCTCAGACTGACGTGAGCTGTCTTCATGACCATGTCTTTGTGTCGCTTGTCCTTAGCTTGCCATTAACACTCTTGCGTTGACATGCAGGATACTCTGGAAGGCTTGTATGGTGCGCCGAAGCTCCCCAAACACCCGTCATTCAGCATCAGGAAGAGCACCGTTCTGGCCACACTGGACTTTGTGAAGGCCCTTGGGGACATCTCCTTTGGACTTGTGGATGTCTTTCCCAACGAGGACAGGCAAACGGCTCTCACAGAGGTGAGCATGGCCGCACCCTAATGCACCATCTTTATTCTTCAGAAATGCCAGTCATTGATGCCTTTGCGCTGACTTTGCTCATTCTGCAGTCCCTGGCAGAGCTCAACGCACATCTTGCAGGCATGCCGGCAAATGAGGGTCAGTATGCACAACGCATATTGCAAGCAAGTCGCTCCCAAAAAAGGTTGATAGCTACAGCGTGTGGTGGAGGTGTCTCACACCCTGCTTGCGATGCATGGCAGGAGTGTTCTTCCCCATGGGCAAGGGGTGCTTCAGAGTGGTGAGGCTGTTGGAGGACGAGGCTGTGCTCATGAGCTCGCGGGACAGAGTGCCTTTCATGCTGCTGCTTGAAGTCCTCAACTGCCTCCCCTTGAGGTCAGTTCCTTCAATTTCTCCTTATCACTGCCCTAAAAGCTAGTCATTATCTGCTAGTCACCCGAATCTGCATGTCCTCCTTCCTGACGGATCATTCTTTTCTCTCCCATCCATTCATTCACCCACAGTGCACGCAAGGCCGGCACGACACCCGAGGGCATGGCACCGGCCAAGACAGGCATCCCCCTGGCGGCCAGCCAGCCTTTGCCCATGCGCCCACCCCCCTGGGCGCTGCACATGTGGAGCCACGCGCGCCCCTCCTCTCAGCACTCGCAGGACGCCCCCCTGGGCCTCTCCCGCACGCTGTCAGACGTGGCTCTGGACCGCGCCATGGCCAGCATGTACTCCCGCATGCGCCTCGTGCAGCTCAGCCTTGACGTCTGCAAACGACCACCTGCCGCTGCTGCTGCCACTGCTACTGCTACCACTCCTGCTGCTGGTGGTGGTGCTAGGACAGACATTCTGAGTCAAGTGCAGCAGGCAGTAGCAGCTGGAGCAGCACTGGCTGGTGCAGGCAGCAAGCCCAACCCGAGTTCAAGCACCCCATCTGTGGCCTCCAGGATGGATACGGAGAAGGGGGGCGATGGAGAGCAGGCAGAGTGGGAAGAGTACGTGAGTGTGAGGCTGGTGGCAGTGCCAGGGGTGACTCTTGACGACCTCACAGGCCTGGATGCTGTCAGCCTCTCCCGTGGTCGAGCCAGAGTTCCCAGCAGCCTTGCCATCGCACACGTCCGGGTACGTCTTTCTTGCAGCCCCTGCCGTTCACAATCAGCCTTTGTCTCTGAAACAATCAGACCCTCTCATGCCCATGCCTTTCACTTCCATTGCCCATGGCAGGCAGTCACCCATCAAGGCGAAGGGCCTCCTCCAGGCATGCCTGTCACCAGTCCTTCGTCAGGAGTCGGCCCCGCTCAGGTCTGTGCTTCTGATCTTCAGCTGCAACCTATCAGCTACCACCACTGTGCTCTTTAAAACTCATCATGAAATCCCTTTTACCCTGAGGGGGATGCAGGAACTGCTGGAGAGACAACGAGTGGATGAGAGCTGGGAGAGTCGCAAGGCAAGAATAAGGCAGTCGTCCAAGTTTGGCACATCGCCAGACTGGGACCTGCGGTCAGTCATTGTCAAGAGTGGCGACGATTGCCGGCAGGAGCATTTTGCCTTGCAGCTTGTCTCGCACCTATCTGGTGAGCAAGATGTGTGGCACCTCTGAGCAATACTTGCTGCTCATTCTCCTCCATGCAGCACGTGTAACGATGTGATCATACGTTATCCTGCAGACATCTTTCAAGAATCAGGGCTGCCACTGTGGCTAAGACCGTATGAGATCCTGGTAACTTCAGGCAGCACTGCTCTCATTGAGACCATCACGGATGCAGTGAGTGATGTCATGCTCTGTCATTATTCCAGCCATGTCTCCATGGAGAATCATTTTCACAAATTTGACGCTTCCTTTGGCAGATCTCATTGCATGCCCTCAAGAGCCGCAACCCTCACTTCAAAAGCCTGCGGCAATACTTTTGCGAGAAATTCAAGCATGGGTCTCCTGACTTTCGCGTTGCCCAGCAGAACTTTGTAGAGAGCATGGCAGCCTACTCCGTTGTCTGCTACCTCCTGCAGGTGAGCCTCCTATCGTTCTAATTTCACCTTCTCCTGAGCTCAATGATCCATTGTCTGAGTACTTCTTGGTACTTTCGTGGTGCAGCTGAAGGATCGGCACAATGGCAACATTCTTCTGGACGACCAGGGCCACATCATCCACATTGACTATGGCTACATGCTCTCCAACTCGCCTGGCTCTGTCAACTTCGAAACTGCACCCTTCAAACTCACCCGTGAAATGGTCGAGGTGGGTAATCGGTTGTAGGTTCTGCCGATATTTTTGCAGCAGCGATTCTGAAGGAACTGTGTAGAATGACAGGCCTGTTATCTGCGTGGTGATCCCTTCACTTGCTGCCATTTGCTCTTTGAACTGTTCAGGTTATGGATTCTGATGCTGATGGTTCCCCAAGCGAGGCATTCGATTATTTCAAAGTGAGCTGTCCTTGCATTTCTCTTGCGTGCTCTGTCCTGCTCTACACATATGTTCCCTCCATGCAGATATCCTTTTCATTTACCTCCTCAATATGCCCTGTTTCTGACATTGCAGGTTCTGTGCATTCAAGGTTTCCTTACATGCCGCAAGCATGCAGAGCGCATCTTGTTGCTGGTTGAGATGATGCAGGTGTGTGATAACTTCTACCTGATGCATAGTACATCTTGTTTCTGCATGGTTCTTCTTGTGCATCTTGCAATCTCCACTGACATCGAAATGTGCTGTTTCCAGCAAACACGGTGTCCCTGCTTCAAGGCAAAGCACCGAGTACTACATAACTTGAGGAGGCGCTTCCACCTTACACTAACAGAGGAGGTAAGACTGTTGATTGTTTTCCATTCGAATGCACGCTTCGAAACTAACTATTTTTGTACATGTTCTGCAGCAATGTGTCTCACTCATCCTCTCTTTCATAAGCAAGAGTGTCGATGCTTGGAGCACCAGGCAGTATGACTACTACCAGCGTGTTCTGAATGGTATCTTGTGAAGCCTAAGATCATTATGAAGTCTCCTGCCGAGCTACTAGCTTCCGGGTTGTCTTGTCTAAAACAATAGCCACAAAGCCACTAGCTTCTTTGTTCCCCTGTAAATTGTTGTGTAAAAAAGACATGAATGCAGGAACCAGAAGAAAATGGCTTCGCCCGGACTTGAACCGGAGACCTTCAGTGTGTTAGACTGACGTGATAACCAACTACACCACGAAACCACAATACAGCTGACATGCTGCCTGTAGATACCTAGTGGACAATTTTACTTCGATCTCATCGAGTTGCTGTGCCTGATTCGAGTTTTTTCCAATGGCAGTCGAAGCAACGAGCCCTGTCACCCAGGAATCCGTGCACGCTGCTGTTGCCGCGAAGGACTTCGCTAGGATAGCTGAAATCTGTGGTCGGCTTGAGCTTGAGGTGTGTGCATATCTTACTCTTCTCTTCCTTGGACAGGTTATGTATCGAAGGTTTCAGCCTAGTCCCTCTTGACGCCGTCTGACAATGGCCTGGGCCGCGATTGGTTCCATGCATCCTGAATGACGATTTCGGCCTAACGGAGCATCGCGTATTAACCTGGTTCGCACCTGTAATGATGCGGATTCGAGTCCGCTCCTTTCACCAGCCCAGCGCCTGAAGTGATCGTTTCTGATTTTGTCCTTCATGATGCAGGCTGCAGCATCGGGAGCACCGCCTCTACCCGCGACGATCCAGTCGCTGCATCTGCTTGCCTTGCTTCACGATGGAGATTTGTAAGCGATCCTCATTATCTTTGGCTAAGTCTGGAAGCCGCTGTGTAGTGGCTGGTTTCTGAAGCGTTTCAAATTATGCAGGTGTCTCACGACTGGTAGGTCCGCACTCCGTCTAGTTTAACCCAAAGTTCGTCTTCACTTCCTAATTTTTATCTCCACGCTCTTTCCCTGATCTGTTTGGGTTTTCGGTTAGGAATGAGGCACGGTTTTTATGGAAGCGGATACCTGCGTCAGTGAAAGACGGCAATGCTGAGCTAGCAGCCACGTGGAAAGTGGGACAAGTCATGTGGAAGCGAGACAGCCAAGACGTTTACGAGGCCTTGAAAGCCTTTGACTGGTCGCCTGCTGTGCAACCCATGGTCGCTGCGGTCACAGGTACATGCGACCACTTTAAGAACTGCATCTTTTCAGAGCCGTGCATCCTCCTTAATGTTTCGGTCTGGATGTCTACCAGATGTGCTTCTTTTTGCGTCTGGCTGAAATCAACGTGCCCTCTTTTTTTCTCCCCCCCCACTATGTGCCACCGAATCATGCCATGTTGTCTTTCCACTATTCTGGTTCCCGTTTCCCTGCATTGCAGACAGATACACACACACCATGATACAACTGTTGGCTCGCTCTTTTTCCACCATCTCACCCTCACATGCTGCCACGTTCCTTGGTCTTTCCTCTCAAGAAGCCCTCTCCTTCCGTGAGCACTCTTCCCTTCACCCCACTTGTTTCATCCACCTTCCCACGCTTTTTTTCTGCCCCCATTTTCCTTTTGTCTACTTCCGTTTCTCATGCTGTTTCCTTTCTGTGGCTTGCAAGGCACATATTGTTTTCTTCCAGGCACATCATAGTCCTGCTCGCAACGCAACACCATAATGTTTTTCATGTTTTCCCCCCCCCCACCCCCCTCTCACCCCTTCCCTTCCCCCCCCCCCCATATTCATGCAATTGTTGGTCACGGGTGAGTGTGAGCAGTGGAGGCCAAGGACTGGAAGTATGATGCAACAACAGACATGTTAACTCCACCAGTTGTCCAAGTAGGGAAGGATAGGGAAATTGAGGAGGAGCAGAGGCAACTAGCACAGGTGAAACGTCTGACAGAGTATGTCTTCAATCTGGAGCATTGACACATTTATCCACTACCGTATGAAAGAGATTGAGACATGGATTTGCTAGATAAAGCAACTACGGTACATTTGGAAGACTACCTACATTTGGTTTACTTTGCACTGTAAGTGGTGACATACCGGTACCGGTACAACAGTACAATTCCTGCAGAGCTAGTTCATGTCTGTGGTAGTACACTGATCAACAAGCTGGTTCATCTTCATATTTGGCAGCTATACTGTATAACACGCAGCCAGTGGCAGTATGAAGGGCAACCAAAACACTTCCTGACAGGCAGGCCAAAGCAAGTGTGCAGGCTGGCCAGGTGTGGTCATTACCAGCTGCATATACGAGGTATTCCCGGTCATCAATCACAGCCACACCAACCTTGTGACCTACACGAGTGTCCTCCTACAGAAGCAACCCAACCTTGCCCAACACCAATTCAGTCACATGGCAGTGAGGACAGTATAACCACAATTGTGTTACTGGTGGTTCATGGAGTCAAAGAAGTCGCTAATGGCTCCATTCACCGACCCAAACGCATCCGACCTGCCCCTCTCCTCTGCTCCCTCTGCCGCCTCACCATTCACCACCCTACCATTTGGCTTACCGTTGACTTTCCCCCTCACTGCTGCTGCATCGTTCACACCCCTAGACCCACCCGTGTCAGCAGCAGCATCAGCATCACTGCTCGCCCTCTGTGCTCTCAGCTCCCTCCTCCTCCGCCTCTCCTCCAGCCGCCACAGCCGCTCTGCTGTGTTCTCTATGTCCCACTCTGTCAACCGAGCCTCGCTCTGCTCCTGCCGAACCTCATCCCAATCACCCACCTCGTATCCAGCGCGCTGCTCAGCCTTAACCCCCTGCTTCGGCGGCGACCAGTCACTCACAGGAAAAGCTCGGATGCGAATCTGCGGTTCGGCATCCGAACCGGATCCGTCCCTAGCAGCTGCAGACACGTCACGAACTGAACCCTTCCCTTCCTCCTCCTCTTCTGCCCTTTCAGCATAAACCTCATCACTTGTCCTGTTCCTTAGCACTCCCCTCACACTCTCAAACATCCACCCAGCTGCTCCAGCCACGGCCCCTCCTGCTGCCCCAACCGCTCCTCCCACTGCCCCTGCCGCACCAACCGCCAACCCCTTTGCACCGTTCAGCACCCCACCCACAGCTGCCACCGCCCCCGACCCCACCACTCCTGCCACGCTCACTAGAGACGGTTTCCTCTCCTCTACTTTGCCTTCGTCATTCCCTGCACTGCTCCCCTCGCCTGCCTCCTCCGCCCTAACTTCCGCCTCGTTACTCGCCACCACCTCAGAGATACTATCCTCAACCATCTTATCCAGCCCCTTCTGCTCCCGCTCCTGCTGCAGTGCCCGCATCGCCTCTTCATCCACCCCTTCCGCTTCCCCCTCCGCTGCCGTCCCCTTATCACTGTCCGAGTCACTCTCTCCAAACACTTTTATGTAAGCGATGGGGGCGGTGGGTGCCGGAATGGCGGTTACTGCGTTACCACCAGTGTTACTAAACGTGGAGGATTCGTCACGGTCCACGTACGACTTGTAGGTGAGAAGAATGCGGATCTCGCCCTGTGCTGCGGGCTTGACGCCGAAGGGGCCGTCTTGTAACAGTGGTAACCACATGGAGAGCGGCACGCAGTCCTGCAGCTGCCAGATGGGCACCTGGTGTTGTGTGGGGCGAGGGGGGTCATGTGGAGTGGTGGTGCATCAGCATTGGCAACAGCATGTTACCGCACAGAGTCGTCAAGCGGGATGGTAGATTGGCAAAGAGGGCAAAAAAGGCACCAGAACGGCACGCAGCAACAGCATTACCGCTCAACCAAGAAAATACTTATGTTTCATCCCTCCCAGCTGTGGCTCCGCTAACACAACGCACCTCAACGAAGCCAATGTTGCGGTTGAGCGCCATAGAATCCCGGAGCATGACGGTGAGCTTCTGCCCGACGGGGTCCTCCACCCAGAAGTGGAAGTCCTGATTCCACACCGGGTCCCTCGCTCCTGAGGGGTGTGACGTCTCGCTGTTGCGCTTGCTCTCCACCATCACGTCCCCCACCATCAGCCGACAGTACGGGTTGCTCCACACTGCACTCACCCACACGCATGCACCGACACACGCATGGAGACACATGCATGAACACACGCATATGCACGCCCAGACACAGGACACAGGTGAGTTAGCGTGGCTGCAACAAGCAAGCAAGGCCACAGCCAACATGCCTATCTTCTGCCCCATCGCCCATTAGGTAAGCCACAGGATGGCAGGTTGCGCCAGCGCCCGCCTGATATCTCACAGAACGGCACCCACCTGAGAGGCCATAAGATGGCAGGTTGCGCGCCTCGCACAGCGTCACAGAGAGCTCGCCGACGAACGAGTCGCTGGGCTCCATGCGCGTGGGCACGAGCCCTGACGCTGCTGACGACGGCCGCTGCCCCGCCAGCCCTGTGAACGTCTCCGATTTAAGCAGATCCAGTACCATTGCGGACGCCGCCGCCGCCATGTGCTGCTGGGGGTCCTCTCCGGCCGGGAGGAAGTCGAAGGTGATGTGACGTGGCAGCACGAGCAGACGTGGCAGGTCGACTGTGAGTAGCTTGGAGAGGAAGCTGGTGGGGATGGGGATGGGGATGGTTGAGGGGTGGTGGGATGGACGGGAGGTGGTGTGAATGTGTTGTGAGTGAGGGACATGGGACAAGCACTGAGTGTGGCTCAAGCTAGCAATTGTCATTATAGAAAGCATTCTGAATCGGTTGAAGACGCAAAGGTTGAGGGCGGGAAGGAGCGGGGGTGTTTGGGAGGGGGAGGGAGGGGGGGCGTGTTGGGGGGAGCTTCGGGAGAGGTGCAGGGAAAGCGGATTACACGGAACGAGAGACGGAAAGAGGAGCTAACCTGGAGAGGAACGGGATGGCTGCTCACGGCGTTGAAACGACGGCAATCCCAAGACCGTGAGACGCGGCGAGCGACGCAGCCGCGCATAGAGTGAAGGGGAACGGGGGGTGAGGGGCAGATCGGACGAAAAAGTAGGTGAGAGTGAGGAAGCAGGGCGGTAGTGGCCAAGCAAAGTGAGGGAGCGCAAGAGGTCAGGGTTGCGAGAAGAACAGGCAAGCAGAGTCAACACGGACATTGACAGATACGTCGGTCCTGAAGCAACGAGGGATGGGCTTGGCGCGCAGCGCACTCACCGAAGAGGTTGACGATGCGGAAGGGCGCGAGGACGAGCTTGATGGTGGGCAGGCGCACGAAGGCGATGGAGAGCGTGCCCACGTACGGCTTGCGCGGCGTGAGGCGCAGCTTGAGCCAGCTCGGCGCGCAGTGCACTCACCAAAAAGGTTGACGATCCTGAACGGAGCGAGGACGAGCTTGATGGTGGGCAGGCGCACGAAGGCGATGGAGAGCGTGCCCACGTACGGCTTGCGCGGCGTGAGGCGCAGCTTCACCCAGAGCTCCGCGTCCACGTCGAGATCGTGCACGCCCACCGGCACCGCGAAGTCCACTCCCGCCACGCGCAGATGTAACAGCAGGAGGCACCGCGCATCTCCCGTGTAGCGCAGCGCCACGTGGTATCTGGAGGGGGTGGGCGGGGTGGGGGCGGGTGGGCGAGGTGGTCGGGGAGGCGGAAAGGAGGGAAAAAGGAAGGGGCAGGAGGGGCGAGACAAGGGTTGAGGGGGAAGGGCATGCGGAATTGGCGGCAATTAGAGGCATGGGCATGAGGACGAGCAAGGGCACGGGCACAGGCACAGGGCGAAACTCACTGGAGGTCGTTGGCGCGTCGGCTGGCGCGGCGCTGCACGTTGCGCACGGCGAGCGGCTCGTAATCCAAGCTGAACTCGGCGATCTCGACGCGCGTGACGACGGCTGGCAGCGGGAGCGTGTCGATGGCGGGCTGTAGCAGGCCGACGAGCCAAGCCTCGATGGAACGCCGATATACCTTCCACATCTTATGCAGCACCATGTTCACCCACTCCACTGACTCCTTGCCGCCGCCCGCGCCCACCTCCGCGCCGCCCATTGCGTTGCTGGGATCCGCCGCCGGCGGCACCTCGGGCAAGGCGGCGGGCCCCCGCTCCTTGGCTTCCGCGAGCACCTGCAGGGACGAGGAAATGGCACGAGGCGGGGGAAGGATGGACGGCCATAGCTGGCACGGCTATGAAAATTCAGTGTATCCTGCAACGAAAACGCGTCACTGGGGGAAGGATGGACGGCCATAGCTGGCACGGCTTGACACAGCATGGCACAGCATGGCAATCGCGAAGCGAAAATTGGCCCACTCTAGAAACCGCAATTCACGCACCTTGGACTCTTTTCGCTTCGTAAGCCACGCAATGCACCCCGACGCCATGAGAGCCGTCGCGGCGCCGATCGTCGCGAAGAGCAGGTCGCGGAGCGGCCCTTCCACGTCGTGTATCGAGACCGGCAGGGCTCTCGCCACATGCGACCGAGAGCGCGACCGCTTCCCGAGCAGCAAATCCCTGCCGGGATGTGCGCCTCCCTGCTGGGACCCTTCCCGCGGAGCATCGTCAATAATTAGAGGGTCGCTGGTCGGTTGGCTCGAGGTGTTGCTAGCGACGGACGGTCTAGATGACACAGTGGAAGTATGGAAGGCCTGTCCGCTGCACGATGGCGGCACGAGAAGCGGTCGACAGGCGTGCACTGCGGTGGAGTGTCGCACGTGCGACTGGCGAAGAAGTGAGGGCTTCGCGGGAAGAAACGACGTCGTTAATTTCGGACTACATCGCGGCTCTGACGGTGCTGGAGCAGCGGGCGGTGACTGCCGTACGCCTCGTGAGTTGGCCTGCTCAACGCGAGGAGTCGAGAGCGGGGAAAGGAGAGTGTGGCTAGCTAGCGAACTCTTGGCAGCCATGGCTGGGGCTTGAACTGCATGACCCATCAGTCTGAAAAAGGCCACCAGAATCCAAGCCTCCGCACGCCTAAACTGCAATTCACTGGAATTCACTCAAGTCGGGGACAATCCTAAAAGGTGATCGCGGAAAACGGATCGATCTTGCTCTACGACTGCTTCGACACCATGACCAAGACCTCCCAACCAATAGCAGCAAGTTCGACGGCGAAGAGATGTGGATGTGAGGTGGCACAAGAAGCACGACTGTTGGCTTCGCTTTCCCTCCCATCCCCTCACTCGCACCTTCACGTGCTCCTTCTCGCCTCCACCAACCTCCTCGATTTCATCCTAGCGCGCGGTGCTGCAAACTGTACCCCGCGAGCACCATTTCGCGCCCTACTTGAACCTCCTGCCCGCGCCCCTCTGCTGCCATCACCATCATGCTTTCTGCCCGTGCCCTTCCCCCAGTCACACGAGCGGAGAAAATCGCTTTCCCTAGGATCCGCTCCGTAGCGCACCGAGCCCTGAAGAGCAACGGGTAGAAAAAGGTTACATTTGGGGGGTGTGGTACTCCCACCACCCGCAACTTTTGTTGCGCAAGAGCCTGTTCTGTGAGAACTTCGCACGCGTCTGTGGTGACGGAGAATTCGCCACATGACGTATGGATCTGACCACAAGTTTCCTGCGCCCGTGGGAACACCATCGTGGTGTACTTTTGCACCGTGATGGTACTTGCACCGGGCAGATTTACACTTTTCATCAGCTTGCCCCCAAATCTTGGAACGGGCGGGTATCCACTGCGATTGGCTGGGTGAGAAAAACTGGCATTCTTGCTATCATCGATCTGACCCTTGGGACCGTCCAATCAACACCTCGGGGTGGTCAGCCACGTCAGGGATTTTGAAAACCGTGCTGGCGGCAACGGACTGGTTGCTCCAGGTTGCGTACCTTTTGTGGTTGCTGCCTCCCCAATGGCAGGGTGATTTCTGTTCTCCGTGCCTGAATTCGAGGGGATTCGGCTAGCAAACTATCGGTTTTGCTGGGAAACATTGAGCAGAACAAGGAAGATAGTTTCTGCCATCGTATCTACACCCGTAAATTGACTCTATAGGTAACCTTAGGCGCCTGAAACAATGGAACATCTTCCTTTCATTTCCCGGAAAGGTGTATTTCTCATGCATAAGCTTGGTCTCGGTTATGATATATAGTTGTAATAGTGCATATTTACATGCATTAAGATTAGCCAGAATCAGCCCCACCTCCAAAAGCCTGCTTATCGTAGTGGACAGCTTTAAGGTGTTCAACATCAGCCCACCGTAAGATGGTCCACTTGTCGGGATGTGTTATCCTAACAATGCCAATGGATGTGTTGTACACTTTCTTCGCATGCCTGTTTCCTGATGCTTTCATTTGGATGCAATTGCATACTCCACCGTGAGTCACCAGGAGCACCCTTTGGCCTGCAAACAGGATTCAAAAAGCATCAGCTACACACATAATAATGCAAAGAAACACGCACAAGTGTTGCTCTGCTGCTCTTACCAAGGTGCTCCTTGGCAATGCGATTGACGGTTGCTGTCACTCTCCCATACATGGCCTCCAAGCTCTCGCCCCCTCCCTTGTGTTCACACGAGCCAGACAGCAACAGACAAACACAAGAGGGCAACACGTGAGAGCGTGGGAGGAGCAGAGAAGGCACAGAGTGGGCCGGCCAGGCAACAGACAAAAAGAAGGACCGCGTGGAGGAGAAGCGGCGGCAGAGAGTGGCATACAGGAATAGGTTGACTCCAGTCCTTCGAGGTCAGTACGCCGTACGCCTCAGGGTGCTTCTGAGAAGCTTCGTCTCGAACGAGGCCCTCCAGAACCCCCAAGTTACGCTCTCTGAGTCCTGGCAGCCGCACCACCTGCTCTGCCCCCATGTCCACCGCCTCTGCCACCGCTTCTGCCGTCTCTGCCGCCCGCCTGAGGTCCGATGAATACAGCGCTGTGAAAGGCAGGTCGGCCCCCGCAAAGCGAGCTGCCAGCTGGCGAGCGGAGAGGCGTTGGAAGGGGCATGGCGAAGGCATGGGGAAGGCATGGGGAACGCATGGGGAAGGCATGCGGAAGGCATGGAGAGGGGAGGAAGGAGGAAGAAGGTCGGATGAGGAGGGGAGGAGCGCATGGGAGCCTGAATGGGGGGGAAGCAAGTGCGGGGGGGGGATGGGTAGCTTGCCGAACGATGGAGAACGGGAATGTAACGAACGTGTATGGAGGCGAGGAGAACAAGGGAGAGGACAAAAGACTCATTCGGAAGGCAAGCGTGAGGGGCGAGTTGGGCCGCACCGCGCGGGCCTGAGCGCGGCCGACGTCGCTGAGGTGGGACTCCGTTTGCCCCTGCATGCGGTTGTCGCGATTCCACGTCGTCTCGCCGTGCCGCACCACCACGATCTCCACCACGTCACGCGGAATGAACGGACTCGCTCGGTATGTCCACGTGGCTTGCGTGGCGCCTTCCGCTGGCGAATCATCGCGAGTCGTGGCGGCGGAAGCGCTGGTCGCTACCGTGAATCCCGGATCTCCAGCCGCTTCTGGTCCCCCCGGCATTGTCACACCATGGGATGAAACGAGGCCAATTAACAAATGTGGGACGACAGAAGACGAGGTAACCAGTTTCGTGAAGTGCGATGGCAAAGGAGAACGGTGAGCAGCGCGGCGCGCAGCGAGCAGCGAAGTGCGGAGAAATCCAAGCGAGGGCATAAAGATCATGCTCAAAAGTAATGCCAGCAATGGGAGCTGGAGGTGGCGGTGAATGGTTTTTGTACCCGCTTCTGAAAGCGTCAATTTCAGAATAAGTTGGGAAAACACTACATAATTCTTCAACAGAGTCCAGAGAATATCGAAACCATCACTGGCTGCATGCCCCAGAATTTTGCCCGTCAAAAGCACCATCTTGGACTAGCTTATGTCAGTCCTCGTAACTCCCGCAATCCGTCGCGTGTCTCTGAGACGGTCGTTAGGTCCCGTACGCTACGAGGGAGGACAACAACGCGAGTTGCGTTCATCGCCGTGCGGCGAGGAGCCGAATGACGCACGTGCTGCTCAAGCGCACGACGGCTCCTACCGCCACAGCGGCACGTCGGGATGACGGATCGGATTGCTCTGCCGGGCAGGTGAATCTCCCCTCGCTCCCCGCCCGCGTGCTCGTGACTTTTCACGCGTCGGCTGCGGGCCCGTCTTTCTCTGGCTTTAACCTAACTTCTCGCCTTGGGTCCACGGCTAAGGCTTGAAATCGCCATACTTGCCCCTCACCCTAATCGCGCGTTTTTTTTTTTTTTCACGTGCGGCTCCACGTTGCATCTCCCCACGTTTCATTTTCACCGCACTGAACCGCAGATGGAGCACCTCCGGCGCTATGAAGAGGAGCAGATGAGCCAGCTCCGCTATTGGTCGCCTGCTCCCGCCAGAGCTGACGTGGCGCATCCAGACTCGCTCGCTGCCGACGTGGACGATTTACTAGAAGTGGCGGCGGCAATAAGACAAGTGGATTCGGATAAGAGCCTTACTTGCCAACTCAGCGACACGGGAAGCCAACAATTGCTGCTGACTCAGCAGCACCAGCCAACGCATGGAGGACACGTGGCAGCTGCAACAGCCTCGGATACGGCTAGGGCTGGGATGGATGAGGAGAGGAGTACAGAAAGCAGCGAGAGGGGAGGGGCCGTGGGGAAGGGTAAAGGGGACGAAGGGTTGATGGTGCGTCCTGTGAGTAGGGGAGGCGCGGTGGGAGCAGCAGCAGCGACAGCCGCCGCGACTGAAGCTGCAGCGGCTCTCATTCGACCGCGTGGGCTGTACGCTGCTGGCCAATCAGGGCGCAGCTTGGGTGGGGGAAGGCGACAAGCCAGGCGTGGTGTCAAACCCAATCAGGGAGAGGCGGCGACAAGGGGAGGTGGTTGGGGAGGGGGATTACAGGCAGGGGGAGAAGGACAGGAAGGCGAGGGAGGAGGAGGGGGAAGGGGGGAGGGAGGGGCGGTGAGGGCAGTGGACAGTGCGAGTCTGCTGCACCAGCAGCAGCCGCTGCTGCCAGAGGGCGTCTCAGAGGACCACCTCCGCCGCTTCGGCTCCATCACTCGCTCCCTCTCCCTCTCCTCCTCCTCCTCCACCCCCACTGCCGCTGCCGCCGCCGCTGCTGCCGCTGCTGCAGCAGCAGCGGCTGCTACGGGTGCTGCGGGTGGGATGGAAGGCGTTACAGGCTCCCCAAGCTCCCTCCGCCTTTCTCCCTCCCCAACCTTTTCCTCCCAAGCCTCAGGCGCAGGCTTGGCCCAAGCTTTGCTGTACAGGGCTGGGAGCGAGGGTGGGCGTGTGGGGGGCGGGGATCGTGTGGGGAGCGAGTGTGGGCGTGTGGGAAGCGAGGGGGGCGCTTCCCCTAGTCTCTCTGCCACGGGGTCAGCACACACTGCTGCCACGTCAGCATGGGAAAGCTGCTCCGATGGGTCAGTGGGGGCTGTTGGGGCACTAGAGAGTGTGCACGAGGCTCTGGTGACGAGCAGGAGGGGTGAGCGGCAGTGGCGGGGGCACACCATGAGTAGTGTGAGTGAGGCAATGGGAATGGGCGTGAGGAGTGCGAGTGAGGGAGTGGGCATGGGAACGGGGCGTGGAAGTGTGCTGGGGAGGGGGCATGGGTTGGCACCACCACATGAGGTGGAGGGGAGGTGGGGATCGGAGGGCGGGTATGTGACGCGCAGGGAGATGCATGCGGTGCTGGCAGGCATGGCTCAGCTGCAACACACTGTGGATGGGGTGCTGCTTCACCTGCAGCAACAGCAGCAAAAGGAGCAAATGGGGCAGATGCAACAGCAGCAGCAGCGCCATGAGCAGCAACAGCACGGCTCATGGGCAGGAGGACAAGGCGGGGAGGGCAAGGAGTCGCTGCTGCTGCTGGTGCCACTGCCTGCAGTGCTGCTGCTGTCGTGCGTGGTGGCTTTGGTCCGTGCCCTGTGGTCGACCTGCAAGTGGGGCGTGGGGCTCGTGTGGCCGCTGTGCCTGCTGCTGCCTCTCTTGCACCGCATCGAGCACCACTGCCACCTGCACTGCCAGGTCTTGACTGCTGCTGTGGATGGCACAGGCCGAGAATGACGGGCTTTCTGTCGCATGGCTGTGCATTCATTGCCTGCAGCGGCTGAGCTGCTCACTTGTGGTTCGCTTTGCCTTGATTGCTTGTGTGTCAGAAGTGTCTCTATTGAATTGCTCGTGTATGGATGTTGGGTACATTCCGCTGTGGACACATGTCCCAATCGATGTGTCCCAATCGTTTCTACCGCACTGCATCGTATTACACCAAATTGCACCCTAGTTTCGAAATTTTCGCGTCTCTGGTTTAGTTCGGTTCGGAGCGGTACACTCGATTGGGACACATCGATTGGGACATGTGTCCACAGCGGAATGTACCCTAAATGGCGGCTTGGTTTGGTATGAGGTGTAAGCATATACATAGGGCAATAATGCATCACTAAGAAAATGTGATGCAGAACTACAAGTAAAAGACAACCCATATGATAACCCTGCATAGTACGTTGTTGCTGGCCTTGCCTAATGGCCCACTTTCAGTTCCTATCTGTGCTTACCCATGGTGGTGTGCCATCTCACCACAGGTGGTCATGTTGGTCTCTTCCTCCCATGTCTGCCTCTACCTCCCAGTACCGCTTTCACCCTTGTCACAACGCTCTTTGCCGCTTGGTTTATCGTGCCAGGTGGAGGGGAGGTGGGCAAGGGGCGCAGGAGGCGTTGCGAGGGTGGCGGGGGAGAGAGGGGCGGTGGGTATGGGAGGGTGAGGCGGCACGAGGCAGAGAGGAGGTCCCAGTTGTGCTGGATGAGGAACCTGGAGCCGTTGACCCCCACCAGGTTGTACCTGGCGCCTGATGGGTCAGTAAGAATGGGTGCGAATCTGGATGTTGTGCGCAGTAGACGAGGGAGGGGCGGGGGAGGTTGAGGGGGGGGAGTAAGTGGACTGAAAGGGTTGGGCCTGCATCATCTGTTTCGAGACATATGCATGCAGAGGGAGAGGGGCGCATGCAGAGACAGAAGCAGAACATGCGAATGCAGGGGTTGAATGCTACTGACTGTACATGCCAGGGGGTGATTGGTTCATGGGAGGAACTGTAGACTGTGCACTCACGACCACGAGCACTTGTCAGCATTCTCCTCCCCGTCGCTGTCAAACCACGTGGAGACAAAGGGCGTTGAATGATACTGGAATATGCAAACACGAGGAGGGGCTCTGTGCACTCACGACCATGAGCACTTGTCGGCGTTCTCCTCTCCTTCACTGTCGAACCACGTGGAGACGAAGGGGCTGGCAGCAGCCTCTGTGAGCTCGTGAGCGAAGACAGACACGAGGCCATCCATGCCTGGATCGCCCGTGGGGGATAGCGAGGCGTTGCTGCGGATGTCTGTTGCTATGCAGGACGTGGGGCACTGCAAGGGGGGTGGAAGGGAATGGAAGAGAGGAACAAAAAAGAGGTGAGCGAGGTGGGGTCATGGGTTGCGGGAGCGAGAGGCGGCCACACAAGGTGACGTCGTTATGAAAGACTGCATATGTGGGAGCAAGCAGATGATCAGCTCTCCCCCTTGCAGGATACCAGGCCAACCCTTTCACGCACCTGCTCACCCACCCCACCAGCAGAAATGCCCCCCCTCCCAAGCACGTACCAAAACACATTCCCACCCGCCCACCCATCCACCCACCCATGCACCCACCCACGCACCCACCCACGCATCCACCCACGCACCCACCCACGCACCTGAAGGTCCGCCTTGCCGGTCCACGCAGTAATGAACGTGCCGAAGCCAGGTGCCGAGCCAAAGAAGTGCCACCCGCAGAACGCATCACAGAAGCGGTCCGCCTCGGGATTTTCGCTGCCCGTCTGCGCCACACGCGCGTCTGACAGCACGAAATACACCCCATCCGCGTTATAAGGCAGCCTGCCGCTCGTGATGGCGTCAGCGAGGAGTGCCGTGACGTCAGCGTCGTAGAGCGTGGCGCCTCGGGAGTATCCCGCGTCGTCCGTCTCGCCGCCCCAAGTGACAGTTTCCGTCACTCGCCGTCCAGCCTGGTCGTGGTACTGCCGGTTCACGTTCCACCACAGCGGCACTGCCGGTAGATGTGGGAGAAATGGTGGGATTCGGGGAAGGGAAGGGTGGGATTCGAAGGAAAGGGATGGGCGGGATTCGGGGAAAAGAGATGGGCGGGATTCGGGGGGGAGGGATGGGAGGTTTTCGGGGGGAAGGGAACAGAGCATTGAGCATTGGGGGAGAAATGGAACGCGGGGCACCAAAAGGAGCGCGAAATCCATCCACAGCATTCCCTGAGAATGCCCGGCGGCTATTTGAGAGGGTACTTGCGGGCCGCCTACCAGTGACGGCGGCGTCCGCGTTGGGGCTGAGCGATGCGACGAAGGAGCGAACCGTCTGCTTCTGGGCGTCGGAGAACACGCCGTACCACAGCACGAACACGCGGATCGGCCGGTGCAGCACGCCGCACCGCCCGTCCGCGCACCAGTGCGGCGAAATACCGAATGGCGGCTTCCCAACGCCTGCCGTCCATACTACCCCTGCTCTTTCTGCCGCTGCTGATGCACCTTGCGGCGCGAGTGTGGCCGTGCCCCGCCCCACGCCGCTCTGCGTCGCCAAAGATGCTTCTCTGAATGAAGCTTCTCTCAAAGGCTTTGAGCCCGTTGATCGAGCTCCAAATGTAGCTTCTTTAGTGCCGGCGACCCCTCGCCATCTCGCCGACATCGCCCGCATCAACCTCCTTTTCTCTGCACCATTGCTGTCCGCCTGTTCCCCGCTCTCTGTGTGTCTTCCCACCCTGAAGTGCTTCTCAGTGCTTTTGTCGTCACGCAGTCCGCGAAAACGAGTCGGATTGAGCCTGCCTGAGGGGCTGCCCGGAAGAGCAAAATGCGATTTTTGAAGTGCATTTGACGACACGGTGGCCTTGTCGGCATGCACGGCACGTGAGTACGAGCAGCCTGCCAGTACGAGGCATAGCAAGGTGCAGGCGCACACGCGCGACATCCCGCTATTTGCTCTGACTGCACGTAAATGTCTGTTAGTCCGATAGCCTACGCCATGAAAAAAAAAAAAAACGAATAGATGGAAAGACGAAAGACTCGAGTCATGAGTGACTCGAGATCCAAGAGTTTCGTGCAGAACGTGGTGCGGGGGAGGGGAGGTGATGGGTGGAACCCAAGGGAAGGAAACGAGATTGGGTTGAAATTGAAATGGGAAGTGCGAAACTCGGGGCCACCACCGTACCCAAGAATTACCATCAAGCTGCTTTCCGTCGGTCGAATCGCGGGGAATTTCATCAGCCGGATCGCTTGGTTTGGGTGGGAGAATTGTACCCGCTGGAGCCGTTGCGAATTCGTTTACTCTATATCATTCGCTCACTCAGGTTACTTACACGAGTATAATAGTGTTGGTTATTCAATGGAAAGCAAAAACCAAGGTAAGCAGCTGATGACCTACATAACTACGCAGGCGGCAGCCAACTTATACAAGAAGAATATAATACAAAATACTGTAACATACACAAAGCTACCCTCCTGGCTTGAATATTTTGTTAATGAAGTCACCAAACCCTTTTTTTGGTTTCTTTGGTGGCGGGGGTGCTCGTTTTGGAGGAGGGGGTGGGGGGCTAGGTGGAGGAGGGGGTGAAGGCGGAGGAGATGGTGGGCGTGTGGGGGGAGGGGGAGGGGAGGGAGGTAGGGGAGGGCTAGGAGGTGCTAGAGGTGCGTATGGGGCGGTTAGTGCACACGAGCCAGAGACCAGGTTCCAGTTTTGCTGGATGAGGAATTTGGTGCCGTCTGCTCCCACCAGATTGTACTTGATGCCTGAGACGTCAGAGGCAAGGGGGGTGAACCTGATTGGTGGCGAAGGAATACGACAGGGAGGTAAAGGGGGTGAAGGGGAGGAAGGTTGGGGCATCATTACTGGAAATGTGGTGGGAGAGTGGAAGTGCTACTATCAGTGGTTGGGCAGCGAGTTAAAAGGTACTAGAAAGTGGTAGAGTGGTAGCAATAGGGCTACTTACTTCCAGGCGCACTTGTCAGCGTTCTCGTAGCCTTCCCCGTCGTACCACGTGGAGACAAAGGGGCTGGAGGTGGCCTCTGCAAACTCGTGGGCCACGACAGAAACGAGGCCATCCATGCCTGGGTCGCCCGTGGGGGATAGGGACGCGTCGCCACGAATCTCCTTGGGAATGCAGGTTGAAGGGCACTGCACAGGCAACAACGACAATTATTGACTAGGTGAGTGGTTAGGTGGGGTTTAGCTGCAAAACAAGGTATGCTGGAGTGGTTGAAATGTCATGCTCAATAGGCTCCAGCCCCACTCACGATCAGGTCTGCCTTGCCGGCCCAGGAGTAGATATAGTCGCCGTAATCGTCGGCCCATGAGTGGTGGTGCCACCCACAGAAATGCGTGCAGAATTTCTCGGACGTGACCTTGTCGCCCCATTTCTGCAGAAGCAGCAGAGAGACACACGTGGCAGATGAGGGATATAGTTACAGGCAATGCGGCCCAGCCACACATGTTTTGCAAGAAACACAGTCATGTCACGTCCTCGGACACAGCTGCCCACCACATGCTGCATCTAACAGTACCGAGTCACACCACACCTGATTGACAAACTCGTCCGAGAGGAGAAAGTAGACGGCGCGAGGGTCGTACGGCAGACTTTGGCTGCTTATGGCCGACCCGAGCAGGTCCTCTACTTGGCTTGAAAGCAGTGTTTTGCCCTTGCTGTAAGCCCTGTCCTCCACCTCGCCGCCCCACGTCACGGATTGCGATATGTGGTTGCCATCCTGATCGTAGTAGAGCCGGTTGATGTTCCACCACAATGGCACTGAAACAACCAAATGGCATGAAAGGGATACACTCAGAAGTTTCTAGATGGACATTAATTTCCCTGGGAATACCGACGTGGCTTTTATTGACTCCCTACCAGTGACGGCGACATTAGAGGCGTCAGAGGCGTCAGAAACATTAGAGGCGTCAGTGGCGTCAGCGGCATCAGCGGCGTCAGTGGCGTCCCCTTCTTAGGGGATGCCTACCAGTGACGGCGGCGTCAGCGTTGGGGTTGAGCGATGCGACGAAGGAGCGAACCGTCTGCTTCTGAGCGTCGGAGAAGACGCCGTACCACAGCACGAACACGCGTATCGGCCGATGCAGCACGCCGCACTTGTTCTCGCACCACGGCGTCCCCCAATGCGGGGAGATCCCGATGGGCTCTGCGGTACCCATGATCGTCGCGCTGCGCCCCGTCGTCGCCGCGCCGCCGCCTTGAGCTCCCCTGAGGTGGGCGAACGCGTGCAGCAGTGCTGGGGAGACGGTTACAGAAGCCAAAAAAACGGAGCGTATCCGTTTTTTCGCAAAGGATCTCATTAGACGGAGGAGACTACTACTGCTGCTAGACTCGAAACCTTCTCGCATTCCATTTTTTACTCTATAGCACAGACTGACACTATCAGAACAAGGACACACACCATGTGTTGATCGGCGTGATTCCGGGTCGTCGAGCCCCGGCGTTCGGATCATAATGTCTCACGCGGCCGGCTCCAACCGACGGTGATGATGCTCGGATTGACCGCAGGTGCTGTCGCAACAACCCTGACGAACGAAACGTGCTAGGAGGCTGGACGAGCGCGCGAGGAATCAAATTAGCAAGACGACGACCATCCGCCTTGACCTCTACAAGTCCGCTGAGGAGAACTGTAAGGAGTATTGAATACGCAAACACATAATGCGCGCTGTCTCTCCGTGATTTGACGTTCTGACGCACTGCGCGTATCGCACGTAAATAACGGCATTGGGACTTGAAGTCTGATCCCATTGCTACTAGCAGTAGGCCACTGTCCGTGGAGGCTTAACTCCACGAGGAGCTCGAAAGTGTTTGTGAGTTCACGAGGTTCGTCGCACCGATGAATGCACGATTATGCGAATTTCCGTAACTTTAGCAGCATGGAGTGGGTTAGTACAACCTAGGATATGGGGCCATGGGGCGACTAAAAGGTGCATTGAGTCCAGGCCAGACACACTATGATGAAAGCCATTGCTAATAGCTGCATATCTGTGTGAATGCGCCATTTGTACTGAAGAGCGTTGCGACATCATGGAACTGAGTGAACTTTTTATGAAGGAAACCTGAAGAAAAAGTACGACTAGCCCTCACCTCAGATCTGCTCTGGTGTTGGTTGGTGGTGAGTGAAGTTGACCTTTTTCATTGAGCAGGGTAGCACAGCAGTTCTCGCCGCCAAAATGCTGCAATTGGGGCGGGCGAGTAACATGGCTTCGACCGTGCTAAGTTCGTTCGGACTTCGCGGGGTTCGCGACGGGTGATTGTGCTAAGTTCTTCGCAACTGCTCCGTTGACAAAGACGAGCACATCGTCGATTTGGAGCAGTGCAACCGAGTCCCCGCGAAATAGCAGAGTCACAACAGCCAGGTGTGGTTACTCGCAAATGAAATTGGTTGGGTCGCATAAACTTGGGCAAGGCGGTGGTGAACCCTTTGTCAACGCGACTGTTGAATGCACTTCGCAAAAGCCAAGACGAGCATCACAAGTCGCTACTGTTTTCGCCCGCGTCGTCGCGTCGTTATACAACGACGTGGGTCTTCAAATTTGGCACGCATGGACTGGCTGGTTGCTTGGTTCGCTACAGTATTATGTGTTTTGTATGTCTTTACTCATGTACAAGTACAGTGTGACCGTTTGCCCAATATAGGGAGCTCGAGGAACCTGGATTTTGACTTGCATGATTCTGGACATTTTCTACACAAGGGAGATGCATAAAGATTACCCTCCTGGTTTGAATAGTTTGTTAATTAAATCACCAAAGCCATTCTTTTGCGGCTTTTTTGGTGGGGGCGCACGCTTTGGAGGAGGGGGTGAAGGAGGAGAAGGCGGAGGAGGGGGTGAAGGGGGAGGAGATGGTGGGGGTGGCGGGGAAGGGGGAGGAGATGGCGGAGGTGGTGAGGGTGGAGGGGAAGGGGGAGGTGAGGGAGGTGGGGGAGGACTAGGAGGTGTGGGAGGTGATGGGGGCCTAGGTGGTGGTGGGGATGGTGCGTATGGGATGGTTAGCGCACAGGAGCCAGATACGAGGTTCCAGTTTTGCTGGATGAGGAATTTGGAGCCGTTGACCCCCACGAGGTTGTACTTGATGCCAGAGGCTTCAGGGATGAGGGGCGCGAACCTGTCAGGTGGAATGAACAAAAAAATCGCAGGAGGAGAGGAGCAGCACAATTATAGGAAATGTGGTGGAGATAGGAAGTATCGCAATTGGTGCTTGGTTGAGGAGAAAACGACCAAGCATACATGTCATGAGCAGGTGGCAGAGTGACGAGGGCTGCTCACTTCCAGGCGCATTTGTCAGCGTTCTCATAGCCTTCCCCGTCGAACCACGTGGAGATGAAGGGGCTGGAGGAGGCTTCTGCAAACTCATGAGCGAAGACAGACACGAGGCCATCCATGCCTGGGTCGCCCGTGGGGGCCAAAGAGGTGTTGTTGCGGATGTCGCTGGGAATGCAGGACGAGGGGCACTGCACAGGCGATAACAACAGCGAGCAGGTGAGGGTTTAGTGGAGGTTTGTCCTTGAAGCAAGATATGTTGCTGTGGCTGAGGCGTGGTGCTTGATGGGCTCCCGCTCACGACGTACGAGCAGGTTTGCCTTGCCGACCCAGGAGTAGATGTAGTCGCCGTACATGTCGGCCCATGCGTAGTAGTGCCACCCACAGAAGTCCGTGCAGAACTTCTGAGCCGTGCTCTGGTTGCCCCATTTCTGCATACACAGCAGAGATGAGGATATCATAGTTCACTTCGCCCCGCAGTCCAACAACAGACGGTTTTTAAGAAACACATTCGCCATCATGTCCATTTCACGGCAATGCAGCATCGACGGGGTTGCAATCACACCACACCTGTGTGACGAACTCGTCCGAGAGGAGGAAGTAGACGGCACTAGGGTCGTGCGGCAGCCGTTGGCTGCTGATGGCCGAACCAAGCAGACTCTCTACTTGGCTTGAAAGCAGTGTTTTGCCCTTGCTGTAAGCCCTGTCCTCGATCTCGCCGCCCCACGTCACCGATTGCGATATGTGGTTGCCATCCTGGTCGTAGTAGAGCCGGTTGATGTTCCACCACAATGGAACTGAAACAACCGAAAAACAGGAATATGATACACCGCAAATGGAATTCATAGAGCAACGTAACATATTTTATGATGACTTGTGCTGTATGAGAGTTTAGAACGATTTATATCAGGGTGTAGCGAATGGCGGAGACGGAGGGGCGAGATGGAAGTCAGTACCGAGGGACGAATGATTCATCAGTGTAGAACACATCAGTGTAGAAAACAAAGGTATGCATGAAGGGGTTTCGGACGACCATTTTCCAGGGGTTCGTGATTTCGTAGTACTAGGGGTCGACAAGTGACCCGCGCATTCCACGGCGACAATTTGGCAACACTTAGCTTCTCTGCGCAACCTATTGGGACTACCTACCAGTGACGGCGGCGTCAGCGTTGGGGTTGAGCGATGCGACAAAGGAGCGAACCGTCTGCTTCTGAGCGTCGGAGAACACGCCGTACCACAGCACGAACACGCGTATCGGCCGATTCAGCACGCCGCACTTGTTCCAACACCCAGCCCACCATCGCGGGTAAATGCCAATAGGTTCCGAGGTAGCCAGGTTCGTCGCGCGGCGGCCCGTCGTCGCCGCACCGCCTTGAACTTCCCTGAGGTGGGCGAGCGCGTAATGCAGGGCTGTAGAGGCGGTTACAGCCAGGGAAACAGATCCTATTTGAAACAGAACAACGAATTCCAGCAGACGGCGGCGCTAGTCTTCTGCTAGCATTCCTTTTTTTATAGCTCAGTCCGGCGCGTTCGGAACAAGGACGCACCGCGTGATGATCGGCGCGATTCCGGGCCGGCGAGCCCCCGAAATCGGATCACCATGTCCCGCGGCTCCCACCGGCGTTGCCCATGATGGTTGCGGGAGGGGCGGAGCAGGCGACAGCCCCGCGGATGTTCGGCGGCTTGGTAGTAAAGGGGTGGGATCAGCGGGCGGAGCTGGCGGGTGCGCGCGAAACGACGCTAATCCTTGAGTCCATAGGTGCTGCCGCAACAACTGGGACGAACGAACTGTACTAGGAGGGTGGACGCGCGTGCGAGGAATTAAGTAATCGACACGCCGTAGTCGGCGACTGCTACCAGCCTTGGCCTCTGACACGCCTCTGAGGAGAACGGCGAGTATCATAAGCGCAAGCACAGACTGCGGGCTGGCTCTCCGTGGTTCAATGGTTTGAATCATGATGCAATTCGCGTGCAGCAACGCTACAGCAATGCGGCTACTTCTCAGACGCGGTGTGACAGGTAGTATCGTCCGTGCTAGGCTGGAAGTGTCCGCCGCACAGATCAAACGAGATCAAAGCGAGATTCACGAGGTTCGCCTCGCCGATGAAAACGAGAATGGAAAATTTCGCGATACGAGCGCCCGCAGTGAATTAGTGCAACCCAGCAGACGAGATTATTGGCACGGAATGCTGGGAGATAAGGCCAAGGAGTGACGAAAGGGCGCATCGAGACCAGACACACCAAGGTGAAGGTTATCGCTGATAAGTGAACCACGGCGGGGTAAGCAAACATGTTATGCGAATGCGCCATTGTCTAGAACCAGAGTGATGCGAGAGGTTTTGGTCCAGCTGTCTCTGTACCCTGGTCTCAAGTGTGGGTGGTGAGGTGATGTGAGATGATCAACTTTTCACGTTAAAAACTAGGTCCCCTTCTGCGAGTGGTTTTCCGTCAAATGCTCGTCTTTACTGTACTGTACACTTGCCCTTCCCGCCGCCAAAATGGTGGCTCGATTATGATGATGCGCCCGCGGAGGAGAGGTGAGGTGGGGTGAAGTGGGGTGGTCCTAATGCGGTTGCGCGCGAGCGGGTCGAGTTTCCCACTCGCGCCCCAACCGAATGATCATTACATGTGCAGCCAGTTAGACATCTGAGAATCTCGCGAAAGGGATGTGTGGTGTGGTGTGGTGCAAGCTTCGTGATCAGCACATACGTCCTAAAAGGGTTGCGATCGTGGCGAAAAGCTGGCGAATATAAATCTCTGGAACGCAACATCCAGCTGTAACCAGTAGAAGTCAACATCACACCGCGCAATGAATGCACCACCTGTCTACTATCTCCCACCCCTCCTTCTTCCCGCCTAACCCAACTCCACCCACCCCTCCGTCAACCCCAACAACGCCAAGCGTGCCCCATTTAACCCCCCACCCTCGCCCCACCACCAGCTCAATCCCTTGTGGGCAGATATAGCAGGCATGGCATATCGCGACGCGTCAACGTATCAGCCACCCACAGGATACTGTAGAAATGACAGGGTGACGACGAAAGTTCTATTGCCGAGCCCAGCTTACAGGCATGGTAATGAGGAGGAGCTCACTCATTCGCGTGCGGCTGGTGATGGTGAACAACCAGGACGAGGTGGTCCTGGTCCCGAACCAAAATGCGAAGCTCCGCTGTACGCACGATATTCCCAAACCCAGAATTCATATGAACTGGAAACTTGAGATTTGGGCCAACATCACAGGCATGCAAAACAGTCTGGTAACCCTATTCGATTGTTTGCAAAACCGTCGATACCGCGGTTTTGGAGGTATTGACATTTTGCGCTAGAATTGCGGTTCTGTTGATTTCAAAAACTGATTTTTACCACGCGTTTGTTTCCTTTCAAATTAGATTTATTCGGGCGATTGTTCTGCCATTTGAGCAACACTGGTAGCTACACCTGCAGGAAAAATAAAACCCAATCGGAAAGGGATGCGACTCGGGAGGCATCAACCCTAAAAACAATGCCCTTTCCCGTGTTTAGGGTTGATCCCTCCCTGAAATGAGTCCAGGTCCCTAGGGGTTTTATTTTTTTCATGCATGCCCTAACAGTTTCCGGCAGCAATATAAATATTACTCTCATTCCAACGATTATTTCTGTCGGAATTATCATGCACATTCAACGGAAAATAGTTGTCCACAGGAATCGTTGTTAGGCGCCAAACAAAGCGCGGTAAGAATAGATTGAAACGAAATTGAAAACGTTTTCGAATGCTGCACGTATTGCTTCCTTTTTGTGCTGCGTCAGCTGTCACACAGTGTTTTGAGTGGCGGTACCAGACAGATTTGCGCAGTGGAACTGGGGTATCGACGGTTTTGCATACAATCGAATAGGGTTACCAGACTGTTTTGCATGCCTGTGATGTTGACCCTTGAGATTTGTGCTGCAGTTGCTCCGGTGTGATGTCGTATTCATGCCTGAAAAACCCAACCCATACCTAGCATGACTGCCAGGTGGTCATAGCAGAGCCCACAGTCAAATCGTACCAGCCAACAACCACCCATGGCCCATTTTTGTCTTGCTTGAACATGGTCTGCACCACAAGAAGTCGCGATATTATTGTCGCCAAACATAGGGTCAGCCAAGCTTGACAGTTCACCACCACACCTCACACACAGAAATGCACCTTGCTGTCTGTACCGCGTTTTCTTACAACGAAACCGTCAGGCCTTGACTGCTCGCACTTCCCCTGCCAACAGTCCTGATGCTGTGACAATAGGCTGCCTTAGCGCCAAAGCGGCCCTGAGTAGCGAGCCGTGAAATCTATGGCAAGGGCGCCGTTCTACCAACAGACTACCACCCGAGCCAGCGTCGCGAGCAACGGAAGCGCTGCAACTCGCCCTTTGCGTCACGATGACCCAAAATTGCCGGAGAACGTGATGTAGGCGCACCCTCGCCCGCATTGTCCTTCCCAGAGGCCGTTTGTTGCTCGCCGCCAGCCCAGACACTCTATAATGAGCAACATGCTACTATTGCTGCTAATTAGTACCCTCGCCGTCGGCATCGCTAGCTCGGAAGGCGACAATCGCGCGACGCGTTCCCGGCGGACCTACCACCCGACCTTTTCTCGTAGCCTGCTTTCGCCGACGAATCGCAACGACGGGATCCGCAGCGCAGGCCGACCAACCATACGGCGGCTGTCGCCAGATGAATCGCAAGATGACACGGCGTTCGACGACGCGGCGGATGCGATCAAGGAGAGCGGAAGCGCGCGAATGGCGGTGCGGGTAGGAAAGGGCGGCGCGGCGGGTGAGGATGGGACGGCGAACGGGAAGCGGCAGGAGATGGTATGGCTGCGACGAGGCATGGCCGCTGCGAGGGGCGAGGCGCGAGTGGATGCGGTTGCTTCCGGCGGCGGCGGCAGCAGTGGCGGCAGCAGCATCGGCGGCTTCAACAGTGGCGGCAGCAGTAGTGACGGCTGCGGCAGTGACGGCAGCGGCAGTGGCGGCAGCGGCAGTGGCGGCAGCGGCAGTGGCGGCAGCAACAGCGGCGGCGTCAGCAGTGGCGGCAGCAGTAACCGCGGCGGCAGCAGCGACGGCGGCAGCAGCAGCAGCAGCAGCAGGGGCGGCAGAAGCAGCAGTGGCGGAAGCAGCAGCGGCGGCAGCAGCGGCGGCAGCAGCGGCGGCAGCAGCGGCGGCAGCAGCAGCAGTGGCGGCAACAGCAGAGGCGGCAGAGGTAGCGGCGGCAGTGGCGCAAAGTCGTCACAGGTGCAGGAAGGAGGGAAGCCCCAGACGCTGCAGCCGAATCAGCTGCAGCAGCCGCAGGGAGCCGCAGCAGCAGGCAAGAAGCCACCTCGCCGTGGCGGAAATGACCCGCGCCCTATCGGCATTTCGCCGCACTGGCCCGCGAAGCGCAAGAAGAAGTGCGGGCGGCGTTGCGGCGTGATGAATCGCCCCATCGCCATCTACCTGCTGTGGTACGGCGTGTTCTCCGACGCGCAGAAGGCGCTCGTGCGCAATCTGATCGCGTCGCTCAACCCGTCCGCCGATGCTGCTCTCACTGGTGAGTGGGTTGGTAGCGTGACGAATGGGTGGCGTCGCAGTGGGTCGGTTGGGGGATTTTGCGTACGACTGTTGATAGCTTCGCATTTGTAAACACCACCCCCTCCCCCCTTCCCTCCACCCCCCCTATCTCCCCCTTCTCCCCGCCCCCTCTTCTGCTCTTTTACCTTTGTAAATTCCCCCAGCTCTCATCCCCCCTTCCCCTCACTCGTCTTCTCACTCATTCTCCCCACCTCCTCTTCCCCCTCCCCTATCTCTCCACCCCGATCACCGCCTGACTCGCCCCCCACAGTCCCGCTCTGGTGGAACATCAACCGGCTGTACTACGATCGCGACATGAATTTCATTTCAGGGAATGTGACTGTAAGGGGCGAGGTGGAGGACACGGGGTATTCCCAAGGGACCATGCTGCTGGACTCCACTGTGGATACGATCGTCCGTAACGCGGTTACCAGCAACCAACTGCCGTTTGACAGGGACGGGGTGTACTTTGTGCTTTCAGACGAGACCGTCGACCAGGTGAGGTGAAGGGCGAGTGATGGGGGTTTTGCTCCTTTTTGCCATGCATCCAGCACCCACCCCTCTCTCCTCCGACACGGTTCTTCGTTCCGATGCTTTGTTTTTCTACACATAAGAGTTGCAATCTAACAGCAACCACGTTCTTGACCCACATGGCCACGCCTTCCTCATGCGCTCCGCTTTCCTCTTGATGTCCCCCCTCCCCACCCCCCCCCCCCCCCCCCACCCCCACCCCTCGGCAGGTATCAGATGGGATGGCTTTCTGTTCGGACTACTGCGGCTGGCACTGGTACACCAACGTGCCGGGGCAGGGCCTGCTTGTGTCCGCCTGGGTTGGCAACGCCGGCACCAAGGTCCGCAACACCTGCCTGCATCCCATACCCCCCTCTCCGCCCTTCCTTTCTGTGCGCATCCCCCTAGCCTACACACACTCGTTCTTCTACCATGTCCCGGCCACCAAAGCCTCTATTCTCTTTCTTTCGCTGATCCCTACGCTCCTCGCAACAGTGCCGATCCAGCTGCATAGCCTCGCAGCTCTTCAGCGGGCCGGGCCACTCTCCCAACGGCGACGTGGGCATGGATGGGTTGCTGTCTGTGTTTGCGCACGAGCTCGCAGAGGCCACCTCTGACCCGTTCATGTCGGCATGGTTCGACAAAGATGGAGAGGAGAACGCTGACAAGTGTGCCTGGGAGTAAGTTCTGTGCGCACCTGCTCGCTTCCATTCCTCTCACTTCTTAGGCTTCTCTTGCTCGTAAGTGTTCAGCAGTGCCTGTACGTTTCCCTCACTCCCTTCCTCCCTCCCTCCCTCCCTCCACTCCATGTTCTGCCCGGTGCAGGTTTGGGGACATGCTGTTTGACTCGCTAGATGGTCCCTTCTACAACCTTGTGGGCCTCAACAACCAGAAGTTCCTCATCCAGCAAAACTGGAACCTCATGAAAGGAACATGCACCTCTACAGTATCATACTCAAACCTCGCTTCCTCCACCGCTCCTTCGCCTCCTCAGCAAGCTAGAGGAGGGGGCATGGGTGGGTTAATAGGAAAAATAATTGGTGGTAGAAGTTGATGTGTTGCGATGTAATTTGTTGATTAATGTAAGGAAAATTCCTTTTCCTTACTTCGCGTCCCTGCTCAGCGCGTACAGCACTGTTCCCGCCAACAGCACCCAACAGTAATCCGTTACCACTCGCGACACTCGCCTCGGTACTGTTCCCGCCACTGTTCACGACGCGACCCAACCTCACGGCTCGGTTGGTAACCCGCGCTCCGGACCTCCGCCTCGACAATTCCCAACCTCGGCGCTAGGCCCGTCGCGCACCCCATTTTCACACATTACCGTTACCACTGTAGTTTCGCTATATAATCCTTCGCTCATGCCTTCGCTCATTGTACTCTTGCTTCGATAGTGCAATCTTCGTTCGCTCACTCAATTGCACTCGTAACACTTGGTATTCAGAGCCTACGATCTCTTCTCGGACCGCATCCACACCTTCGCTTCCCCACTATCTCAATTTTGGGGGGGGGGTAGACGTCTCTCAGCGACACAGCACCGCCGCTCGTAGTGCTCTCTCGTAAGCACGCACGGCCACGACAGAGGCTCTCGCTGAGCTCGCCCGACACCCCCGCCATGGCCGAATTCAATCTCGCGACTCTGACGCAGGAGCAGCTCGACCGCCTGGTGCGCCAAGTTGAAGAATCGGCGCTCGAAATCGCGACGCTCACGGCGGAACGCGACTCCGCGCGTCAGCAAGCCACGGCGAGCAACCCAGCACCTCATAATGCACCTGCACCGTCGGAGGAGCCAATCGTCATTTCGTCTGGCACACCAACACAGCACGACAGCGTGGGACAGCGCTCAGGAGCAGCCAGTGATAGCGCCGCCCAACCAATGCCTGGCATGGGGAGAAACCGGGCCGCGCCAAGCTCTCAGGAGCCTCGCGAAGCCTGTCGGCATGTGGAGTTTGCGGCAACAAGCGCCGATCAGGCAATCATGGCGCCAATGCCACTCAAGCCGCAGCGTCCGCCCTGTTTCGACCCGAGCCAGCGTGGGGGTCCGACGGTTCAATCGTGGATCTTCACGATGAACGTCTTCTTCGACGCGAATTACGTCGAGTCGGACGCAGCGAAGATCCGATACGCCGTTTCGCTGCTGAGGGGCCCCGCTATGGACTGGTGGCGAGTCATCGTGACGTCGCCACGCGCCTACGAGCCACCGTCGCAAGAGGAAGGGCCCGCGGGTCCAGCAGTCACCTGGAGTTCGTTCTGCGAAACCGCCCAGTACAGCACGTGGGATGCGTGGTGCGTAGGGCTTCGGGCGCGCTTCGAGCCGATCGCGGCTTCTATTTCGGCGCGTCAGAAACTGCGCACTTGGCGGCAGCTCGGATCGGTCCAAGACTATACGAGCGGTTTTCTCGCATTATGCGAGCAGGTCGGCTACATGCACGAAGCGGAGCGGGTGGACCGTTACGTCGGAGGGCTGAAGCCGGAAATCTCGCAGGAAATCATGCTACGCGGGCTCTCGAACTTCAACGAGATTCTCGCGCTCGCCGAGAAAATCGACATTTTGCGCTGACCGAGACCGGGGTCCTACTACGGACATCGTCCTCGGGGATCGATCGAGCACGCCACCGTACACGCCGTTGCGACGAATGCAGCTGCCGCGCCATTTAAGGGGCGCTGCTTTGCTTGCAACAGGCCGGGCCATCGCAAGAGTGAATGTCCAGAGGAGCTGAGGCGCCGCGGAGCAGAGCAGGGGAGGGAGTCTCAGAGACAGGGAAACGCCAGCAGTCAGTAGAAATTGGGCCAACTACTGACGAGACTGCCTGCTCGCCCAACCGCACCGACCCTCACCGAGTCACAGTACCGATTCACGCCATCGATCGGGCTCGGATGAATAAGGAGGGTACAGCGACGGATTGCCCAATACTGATCTACGGGAAAATACAGGGAGCAGCAGTGAAGATTTTTATCGACGGAGGAGCAAGCCATAGCTTAGTTAATACTGCAACCGCACGGAAACTGCAACTGACACTCAGCCGGTGCTTACCTGAGATAGACGCACGCTTAGTCGACGGCACGCCGCTGGCCATACGGGAAAAGGTGGAGAGGGTAAAAGTTCGCTGCGGGGGGAACTTCGGGTTTACACAGGAAATGCTCGCGACGACACTGGATGGGCACGATATTTTACTGGGACGTGATTGGCTGCGACGGTATAACCCGCGAATCGACTGGACGACAGGCAGCTGCACTGTGCGAAGTAGTGGTAACTGGGTCGAACTACCACGCTGGCAGTCGCCTGAGTCTTCAACGGTCCACGTCAACGCCATCACCATGAAACGGGCAGTCGCCGCTGGAGCTGACGTGTACGCAGTGGACATCGCAGTAGTGGGAGAAGCCGAGCAACCGAGCGATTTTCAGAAGCTGTTGGCAGCGGTACCGCCCGAACTACAGGAGCTGTTGAAACGGTACCCGGGGATATTCCCCGACGACTTACCAGCGGGACTGCCACCTCAGCGGGCGCACGATCATAGGATAGAACTAGAGCCGGGGGCACAGCCAACCGTACAGCGCCAGTTCAGACTGACACAACCGGAACTCGACGAACTGAGGAAGCAGTTAGGGTACATTCCTGTGTGGACACAAATGTATCAATCCCCCTTTTTCCGAGTCGCGTCGTAACATTTTGTCAACCTCGCGTCACAAAAAAGGAATGTATTGCGTGTCAGAGGTCCACTGGGGATCCCCGATGATCCTAGGGAAGGGTTACAGGCACGTCGGCCTGGGGGGTTATGGGCGCACTCACCCGCTATATAAACAAGCCCTTTTATCCCAGTGGTTAGTGGCTGGGATTCTGACATGGTATCAGAGCGAAGGTCTCGGGTTCGATTCCCGGTGTGTGCACTTCGGGCATCCCAGTGCGGGGGGGTGTCAGAGGTCCACTGGGGATCCCCGATGATCCTAGGGAAGGGTTACAGGCACGTCGGCCTGGGGGGTTATGGGCGCACTCACCCGCTATATAAACAAGCCCTTTTATCCCAGTGGTTAGTGGCTGGGATTCTGACATTGCGACACTAGGCGACCAGGCGAAATGTACAGTTGTGCGCTTTTGATTGGGTTTCGGAATTGACTGTACACCCGTTTCTTCAAACGCCTGGCTGGGGTGTGGTTTCGACGCGCGGGTTTTTTTCCCGCACGAAATTGGCATTGGGGGTTGTTTAGGTGCATTGACATTTCGAACCGCGTGCGACATTTTTCCATTGACGGGTCGATTTGCAACTCGTCCGCGATGTTAGCGCGTTTCACGCTAACCAATGAAAAATACAGTAATGGTCGCTAAAAGGCGATTCCGTTTGTGACATAATACGTTTTATGCTGTTTTTACGCGTCACAATAGGATTGAGACACAAATGTCCACACAGGAATGTACCCTTAGATTACCTGTTAGAGAAGCAGTTTATCCGACCGAGTTCGTCACCGAACAACACGGGTTTTGATCGACCAACTGCGAACAGCACGGGTTTTGTCGAAAATAGATCTACGGGGAGGTTACCACCAGATTCGGGTCGAACCATCGGACTGTGCCAAGACAGCTTTTAGGACTAGGTACGGGTCGTTCGAGTACACCGTAATGCCCTTCGGGCTGACCAACGCACCTGCGACATTTCAAATGACCATGAACGAGGCGTTTAGGCCGCTTTTAGATAAGTGCGTGATAGTCTACCTCGACGACATCCTCGTCTACAGTCGCGATAAGCAGCAGCATTTAGCGGACCTCGAAGCAGTGTTTAAGATTTTAGAGGAGCATAGGTTACTGACCAAGGGGTCTAAGTGCGAATTCTTTCGGGATAGGTTAGAGTTTCAGGGGCACGTTATTTCGGAGGCTGGGGTTGAGATTGACCCACGGAAGCTGGATACGGTCAAGGCATGGCACCCCCCGACCAACATCACCGAGCTGCAGAGTTTTTTGGGGTTTGTTAATTACGTCCGTCGGTTCGTCCCCGACATGGCCCGCTTAACAGCCCCACTGACGGATTTGCTGCGGAAGGGGGTCGTTTTTACGTGGGGGGAGAAAGAGCAAGCTGCCTTCTCTGCCCTGAAAACTGTTCTCTGTTCACCGCCCGTCCTGCGCATTGCCGACCCACACCGCCCATTCGAAGTAGTTACAGACGCGAGCGACATCGCCATTGGAGCAGTACTGCTACAAGATTTCGGCAACGGCCTACAGCCCATCGCATACGAGTCACGAAAACTGCATCCGCCCGAGAAAAACTACCCGATACACGACCGCGAAATGCTCGCGATCGTGCACGCGTTCAAAGTGTGGCGCTGTTATCTGACCGGCGCAGACGTGACAGTACGGACAGATCACAAATCACTACAGTACCTTCGCGCACAGCCCAACCTCAACCCACGACAGATCCGATGGCTCGATTTCCTCGAGTCCAATTTTCACTACACGGTCACCTACAAAAAGGGAGCATCCAACATCGCTGACGCACTAACCTGCCCCACCGCCCACATCCACGCTATCCTACTCGCCCAAACCAGCCCACTTTTAACAGGACTATTCACCCACGGGTATCAAACGGACCCTTTCTTCACAGGAGGAAATTCGCAGCAGTTCGCAACAGCACGAGGAGTCTATTACGTAAAAACTGGAACCGACCGCATTTGGGTACCAAGGTACACTCTGCTACGGGAATTACTGCTACAGGAGGCACACGACGGAGTTACCTCGGGACATTTTGGGGTAGAAAAAACACGGCAGCAGCTGCAGCGGTATTATTACTGGCCCGAAATGTTGACCGACGTACAGCGACACGTGGCATCGTGTCCCACTTGCCAGCTCATGAAGTCATCACGGAAGCGGCCGGCAGGACAGTTGCAACCGATACCACCCCCAGAGCGTGCGTGGCAGCAGGTGACGATGGACTTCGTCACGGGGTTACCGGCCGGAGCGAGTGGGAACGACGCGATCATGGTCGTCGTCGATCGACTGACGAAAATGGCGCACTTCGCAGCCTGCAAGAAATCGATCACAGCCGAAGAAACAGAAGAAACAGCCCG